CTGTCTAGTTTGTGGATACAGGAAGAATTTAAGACAAGAGATAGAGAATATTATGGGATATAATGTGAATAATTTTGATTATATCAAATTAAAAAGTATTTGTACAAACAAAACCAATGTAGCCAAGATTAGAAGGAAGCAGGAAACTGGGATTTACAGCAAGCTTCTCTGATTAAAACCTTATTTCTCAAATACATAGAAAATGGAATCAAGTTTATAAAAATATGAATCATTTCCCAATGTTCAAAGGATATGAACAGACAGTTTTCAAACAAAGAAATCAAAGCTATCTATAGCCATATGAAAAAATGCTCTAAATCACTATCAATTAGACAACTGCACATTAAAACAATTCTGAAGTAACACAACACCTATCAGATTGGCTAATATGATAAAAAAGGAAAATGACCAACATTGGAGGGGCTGTGGGAAAATTCAAACACTAATGTGCTATTGGTGAAGTTGCATACTTATTCAACCATTCTGGCGAGCAATTTGGAACTATGCCCAAAGGGTTATACAACCATGCATACCCTTTAACCCAGCAATACCACTGGTTTTGAGTTTGTATCCCAAAGAGTTGGGGGGAAAAGGGGAAAGAATCTATTTGTAGAAAAATATTTATAGCAGCTCTTTTTGTGTTGGCAAGGAATTAGAAATTGAGGGGATGTTCATTAACTGGGGAATGGCTGAACAAGTTGTGATATATGATTGTGATGGAATACTATTGAGCTATGAGAAATGACAAGCAGGGTGCTTTCAGAAAAACCTAGAAAGACTTATATGAACTGATGCAAAATGAAGTGAACAGAACCAAGACAACATTGTACACAGTAACAGCAATATGGTATAATGATCAACTATTCTCAGCAATACAATGATCCAAGACAGTCCCAAAGGATTTATGATGAGGTATACCATGCACCTCCAGAGAAAGAATTGATGGAATCTGAGTACAGATTGAAGCATAGTTGTTGTTTTTTCACTTTATTATTCATGATTCCTTTTTGTCTGTGTTTTCTTTCTCAACATGACTAACATAGAAATATGTTTTGCATGACTGCATAGTATAATCTATATTAAATTGCTTGCCTTCTCAAGAAGGTGGGAGGGAAAGGGAAGGAGGAAAAGAATATGAAATTTATATTTTCAAAAAATGAATGTTAAATTTTTTCATGTAATTGAGAAAAAATAAAATAAAAAATTTCAAAATGAGTACATGATTCAAACATGTAATGGGTGATATAAGCAAATTAGGAGATCTATAGATATAGAAGAGTGTTTTGTAATTGTGTCAAACTCCTTTGAATTTAATATTATTCTCTTTCTATTTATTCAGTATGTACACACATGTATACCATATACATATATGTATATATACATATATGTGTATATATATTATATATATTTTGTCATCTTCCTCATTCAAATATAAACTCCTTAAGAGTAGAGATTTTTTTTCCTTTATTATATTTGCATCCTTAACACTGAACATAGCATACAGGAAAATGTACCTGTCATATCTATGGATAAAAAAAGAGTTCATGACCAAATAAGAAACATAAGAGGATCACAGGAAATAAAATGGATAATTTTGATTATATGAAATTTAAAAGGGTTTGCCCAAACAAAACAAATGCAACAAAAATTAGAAGGAAAACAAGAAACTGGGGGAAATTTTTACAGGAAGTTTCTCCAATAAAGGTCTTATTTCTCAATTATATAGGGAAATGAGTCAAATTTATAAAAATGAGTCATTCTCCAATTGATAAATTGTCAAGGGATATATGAATAGGCAGTTTTCAGAAGAAGAAATCAAAGTTATTAATAGTCACATAAAAATGCTCTAAATCATTAATAATTGGAGAAGTACAAATTGAAACAACCCTAAGGTACTACCTCACACATATCAGCCTGGCTGACATGACAGAAAAGGAAAATGACAAAGCTGGAGGGAGTGTGAAAAATAAGTACACCTGAATGCACTGTTGGTGGAGTTGTGAACTCCAACAATTCTGAAGGATAATTTGGTATTATGCCCAAAGGGCTAAAAACTGGGCATACCCTTAGACCCAGCAATATTATTACTAGGTCTGTATCTCAAAGAGATAAAAAGGGGCGGGGAAGAACCTTTTTGTACAAAATATTTATAGCAGCTTTTTGTGGTGGCAAAGAATTGGAAATTGAAGGGTTATCCATCAATTGGGGAATGGCTGAACAACTTGTGGTACCTGGTTATGATGGAATATGATTGTGCTATAAGAAATGACAAACAAGATGCTTTCAGAAAAACCTGGAAAGACTTAAATGAACTAATGCAAAATGAAGTTAGTAGAACCAGGAGAACATTATATGCAGTAATCGCAGTATTATAAAGATGATCAACTGTGAAAGACTTAGCTACTCTGATCAATACAATCATCGATGACAATTCCAGTGGACTCATTATGAAAAATTCTATCCACTTCCACAGAAAGAACTAATGAACTCTGTGCGTAGATTGAAGCTTTTTCCTCAAAAATAATTCAAAGGGGTTCGAGAGGGAGAGAACTATTGGGGGAGAAGGCTTCATAGAGAAGGTACTTGTAGTGTTGAGGAAGAAATGCACTCTAGGCATTGGAGACAGACAGTACAGAAACACAGAGATGGGAAATTGAGTATCTCAATGGAGAAAAAGCCTGTTTAGCTGGACCCTAACCAGAAGATGTGAGAGGAGAAGGGGAATGGGAAAAGGAACAAGCATTTATAAAGCACCTGCTATGTGTCAAACACTTTGCTAAGCGCTACAAATAGTCTCTCATTTGATCAGAGAGGGAATGACGTCCAAGGAAGCTAGAAAGATAGTTTGGGGTCAGGTTGTGAAAGGCTTTAAAAGCAAAATGGGAGTTTATATTTGCTTCTAAAGGAAATAGAAAGTCTTTGTTGCTTATTGATTATGGGAGTCACATTGTTAGATCTATGCTTGGCAGCTATGTGAAAGATGGGTTGGAGTGGGCAGAGATTTGGAGCAAGGAGACACATTAGGAGAGTGTTCCAAAAATCTAGTAAAGAGGGGATGAGGTTCTGTGCTTAGTGTGTAAGTAGAGAGAAGGGGTTGGATGCAATTTTGGAGGGAGAAACAACAGGGTTTGGGGCTATTGATTGGGTATGTGGGCTGAAGAAAAGAGGGTGGAATTGAGATGATCCTGGGAGAATAGAAGAATGATAGTGCCTTCAACAGCTTGGAAGTTTGGAAGAGGAGTTAATTTGGAGGGGGAAACAATGAGTTCTGCTTTTAATGTGTTGAATTTGAGATGTCTGCAATGTCCGGTTTGAAATGTCCAAAAGGCAACTGGTGATGTAAGGTTGAAAGACTGGGACTGTCTGTATAGATGTGTGAGTCATTAGAACAGAGATGATCATTAAACCCATGGCTTCTGATGAGGACACCAAGAGAAATCAATCAGCAAGCATTTCTTATGTATTTGCTCTGTCTCTCTTGCAGGATCTTCCTCTAAATTATACACACTAACTGTGGGTATCCTCCAAAGGCTCTGTCCTGGGTCCCCTTTGTTTCTCCATCTATACTATTTTACTTGGTGATCTCATCAGCTCCCATTCTTAGATCTATTTATCAAGCCCTAACCTCTCTCCTGACCTCCAGTCCTTCATGACCAACTGCCTTTGGAACTTCTTGAACTGGATTTCCCATAGGCACCTCTAACTCAGCATGTCCAAAACAGAACTCATTATCTTTTCCCCCAAAACCCTCCTCTCTCCCCAACTTTCCTCTTAATATCAAAGGCATCACTATCCTCCCAGCTGCCTAGGTTTCAATCTAGATGACTCCTCACTCACTCACCCCATCTATTCAACTCATTACCAAATCCTATCTCTTCTGCCTTCACAACATTAATCCCCTCCTTTCCATTCACAAAACCTCAACCCTAGTTGAGACTAACCACTTGGATCTTTCCCATCCTTTCAATCTTTCTACACTTCATTCTTCTTTATATGCTCTTAAGGTCTAGAAACACTGGCCTGCTTGGACACACCATTTCATCTCTCCTCTCCATGCCTTTATATAAGCTGTCCCCGCATGCACCCTCCCTTCTGCTTTGTAGTTTTCCCCAACTTCTTTCAATACTCAGCTCGAATTCTGACCTTCTTCAGGAGTCCTTTCTCACTCCCCCCAGCTGCTATTGCCTTCCTCTCTTAGAGTGACTTTTACTTCCTCTGTATAGATGATACCGTATACGTTCATAGATAAACGTTTACATATTGTCTCCCTCATTAAAACGTGAGCTCCTTGAGGGCAGGGCCTGTGTTTTTGCCTTTTTTTGTATCCCCAGTGTTTAGGGTGTAGTAAGTGTTTAATAAATGTTTGTTGACCTGACTTGATTTAACCTACTCTGCACTCAGCACTGTGCTAGGTACTTTAGGGATATGCAGTCAGGAATGAAATAGTCCCTGCCCTCAGGAACCTTATATTCTGTTGAGGGATAAGACACATTTGTGTATGTGCTGTATCCCCAATAGTTGCTTATAAGCACCTCAAGGGGAAAGACGATCACTTTTCATCTTCCTATCACCAAACAGTAGGAAAATAATAAATGTTTACTCAATCATATTGAATTAAACTGGAAAATCCTGTAGCAACAAAGGACTTAGCACTTGCTAGCTATGATCATGAACTTTTCCTTTCTGAAACTCAGTTTCCTCCTCTGCCAAATGGAGATAATCATATCTGCACGCTCCCCTTACAGAATTGCTATGAGAAAAGCCCCACAGAAATGGGAGTTGTGGGAGTGGGACTTGAGGGATGGGAATCATGCTGAGAAGGCAGGAACCAAAAGAGAGTTTTCCCTGCTGCCGCTTCTCCCGCAGATCAGAGGCCCAGACCAGAAACAGTGGCATTGAAGGGAGCAGCAACAGCAACAAGATGCCCGGCCTGCTCAACTCTAGCACTTGGGAACCACTTCCACTCACCTCCTCTGACATCACTTCCTGTGTCCAAGGCTATGCTTTTGGCCTCATGGCCTCTCTCACCTATGGCAATGTGGAAGTCCAGCCTTTCCAAGGTAAAGATCCCCCTTGCTGCACACACATTGCCCCTCCTCTCTCTGCATGGTCCCTTCAGCCCAGCTTGGATGCTGGACGTCCAGGGAGGGGCGAACAGCGTCGGTCTCAGTCTCAGCCCTGGGCTATCACCCAGTAAACAGTTGGTCGGATCAGGATAAGAAGGTGGGAGGGAGGGGGTGACCCCATTCAGACAGGGTGAGTCCCGACTAGAAAGTCTCATGTCCCTTGTGTAGCACAGGCCCATCTCAGGGCCCCCTTATTTTATATGAAGCATCCCCCACTGTTCTGTGAGGGACCGAGCCCTGGATTTGAAGTCAGAGAACCTGGGCTTGACCCCCCCCAACATTGCCACCAATCCTCTCTTTGTCACTCATTTTGTTATGAGTTTTTCTGAAGCTCCACCAGTAAGAGTGAAGGTTCCCCCAAATGGAGGCAGCTGTGCTGAATAGGAAAGACCACTGACTTCTGTAATCCCAGGGCCCTGGTTTGACCCCCACCTCTGCTACCATGTCTATGACCCTGAGCAATTCCTTCTCTTCTCTTGACTTCTGCTGCAAAACAGGGATGATAATCATTGCCCTACATACCTCAAAGAGGGAATGCTAGGATCATAAAACGAGATGGTATATGTAAAATTTTCTGAAAATGCCATCTGGGCTGGCCTCACTCTAAGATGAATGCAGGATCCTAGGACTGAGAACTAGGAGAGACCTTATGCGATCTGGCTTAACTCCCTCATTCTCCAGATGAGTCCCAGAGAGCACGCAAGCGACTTGCCCAACATCATGGTGTAGGGACTGGGGCATCAAACAAATAGAAACAATCCCTCCTTTCGATATTGATTTGAAAAAACACAAATTAACATTATCTACATCTTATTGTATTTTTATTTATTTTGTTCAGCATTTCCCAATTACATTTTAATCTGGTTCAGGTAGCACTCAGGGTGTTGTAAAGTTGTATGAGGTCACAAGTTTGACACCTCTGACTAGTGGTAACATGCTACAATGGAAGAGCCCTCACCACAGTGCTCTAAGCAATCAATCAAGCAAGAAAGTATTTAAGGGCTCTGGTGGAGCAGGTGGTAGGTCCACATTCTGCCTCTGACACTACCTGTGTGATTTTAGGCAAGTCACTTGACTTCCCTGGACCTCAGTTTCCTCATCTGTAAAAATGATTGTGCCAGACCAAAAGTAACTCTGAGGTTCCTTCCGACTCTGGACCTGTGATCACATGATAAGATACTCGACTTGGATTCTGGAAGACCTCAATCCCCACCTCCAACTCTTCCTGGCTCTGGAACCCCGGGCAGAGTAGCTTAAGTTTTCCTATCTGGAGTTTCCTCATCTGGAAAATGGTGATAATGACACCTGAGGATTGTTGTGTGGGTGAAAAGAGATACTGTCTGGATGAAAAAAGTGCTTGGCAAGCTTTAAGGGGTTCATGCATAGAACCAGACGTTTAAATGTCAAGTGTCATGAGAGAGGAGTTCATAGAATCATAAGTGCTGGAAGGGATATTGGAGGCCATCAAGCCCGATTCCTCATGCTACAGATGAGGCCCAGAGGAGGGACACCCAAGGTCATACAGCTGGAACGTAGAATCCTGGTCCTCTGATTTCAAACACAGCTTCTAGTGGCTACGTCCTCACGGTTTGTATGGGATGGTACCCATGGGATGTAGGCGTGAGGGGAAGCTCGGGTGGATGCCATTCACTCATTCAATGTCCGTGGTGGGGACGGGGTGCCTTCCCCGGCAGGCCTCTTCATATATCCCCTGGATGAGTACACCACAGTGGTCGGGTTCGAAGCCATCATCTCTGATAGATCCGTGACAGTACAGATCAAGGACAAAACCAAGCTGAACAGTGGCTACTTTGACATGAATCGACCTCATAATGATATGGGTAAGATGGCAAGGATGGAGGAGGAGGAAGTTTTATCTGGGGTCTGGATTGGGCCTAGGGCAAGGACCTAGACTGGGGCTATGAGTAGAGTTGGGGCTTTTACTGAGCCTGGGGTTGGGACTGAGACCATAACTATGGTGGAATGACTAGAGCTTTGTCCCAGGGTGCCAAGTTTAGAAGGTACTAACGATATTTGCGATGCTTAATTAACTAGAAATAGCAGAGCTTAGGACCTAGTCCTTGAGAATAATTAGTTAAAATAGGCAAGTTGGGGTGAGTTTTGCGGTGTCTTGCCTTGCCCAGCCCTGCTATCTCTACCTTCTTGGGTCTCTGTCTCCCTCCCACCTTCCCCTCAACCTAGGGTTTATTTTGAGATGCTTGCCCAAGGAACAATCTGGTGTTACTTGACCCAGACACATAAATTTTTAGTTATGGTTCTGCCAGGAACCTCATAAGTCAGTTTATTTCTTTTTTGTAATTTATTATTTATTTATTTTTAACATTCTTTTTCAATTTTGAGTTCCAAATTCTCTCCCTCCTTCCCACTCCCACCCCCCCATCCACTGAGAAGGCAAGCAATATGAGGTCATTTATACATGTGAAATCATGCAGAACATGTTTCCATATTAGCCACATTACTAAAATAAATAAATGAATGAATTAATGAAGTGAGGGGGAAAAGAGAAAAATATACTTCAATTTGCACTTGGAGTTCATCAGTTCTCTCTCTGGAGGTGGACAGCATTTTTTTTTCATTATAAGTTCTTTGGAACTGTCTTGGATCATTGTACTGATCAGAGTAGCCAAGTTATTCATAGTTGATCATTATTACAACATGGCTTTTACTATGTATAATGATCTCTGGGTTCTGCTCACTTCACTTTACATCAGTTCGTATATATCTTGCCATATTTTTCTAAAACCACCCCACTAGTCTTTTCTTAAAGCACAATAGCACTCCATCACAATCATATGCCCCAACTTGTTCAGCCATTCCTCGCTTGATGAGCATCCCCTCAGTTTCCCAATCTTTGTACCACAGAAAGAGCTGCTACAAGTATTTTTGCATATATAGGTCCTTTTCCATTTCCTTTGGTCTCTTTAGGATATAGACCTACTAATGGTATTGCTGGATCAAAAGGTATGCCCAGTTTTATAGCCCTTTGGGCATAGTTCCAAGTTGTTCTCCAGAATGGTTGGACCAGTTCACTACTCTCCCATAATTCATTAGTGTACCTATTTTCCCTCATCCCCTCCAGTATTTGTTATTTCTAATAGGTGGTACCTCAGAGTTGTTTTAATTTGCATTTCTCTAATCAATAGTAATTTAGAGCATTTTTTTCATATGACTATAAATAACTTTGATTTCTTTTTCTGAACACCACCCATTCACATCCATAAGTATTCATCAATTAAGGAATGGTCTTATTTTATATATTTGATTCAATTTTCTATACATTTGAAGCTTTTATCAAAGAAACTTGGTGGAAAAAATTTTCATATTATTTCATTGTCTATGCTACTCATTAGTAAAATGTAGTTTTCCTGATTATCTCTTTTAATTAGGTCTATTTTTTATTTTGCTTTGTTTGGGATTGTGATTTCTACTCCCTCTTTTTTTTACTTCAGCTGAAGCGTGTTAGATTTTGCTCCTGCCCTTCATTTTCACTCTCTGTGTGTCTTTCTGTTTCAAATGTGTCTCTTATAAGCAACATACTGATGGATTTTAAATTCTAATCCATTCTGCCATCTGCTTCCTTTTTACAAGTGAGCTCATCCCATTCACATTCACAATTATCATTACTGTGTATTTCCCAATTCCTTCTGCTTATTCTTTTCCCTGTTTTTATCCTACCCTTCATCAAAAATCTATTTTGCTTCTCACTGCTGCCTCCCTTAATCTGCCTTCCCTTTTATTGTCTCCCACCAGTTCTCTTATCCCCTTCCCTTCCTATTTCTCTATTTGGTAAGATAGATTTTTGTACACAACTCTGTGTGTGTTCTTCTCAGTGAACCAATTTCAATGAGAGCGAGGTTCAAGCATTGCCCTGCACCACTCCCCTTTTTCCCCTCCACTACGAAAGCTCTTCCTTGAGTGAGTGCCTCTTTTATGTGAGAAGAGTTCCCCCCTTCTACCCTCTCCCTTCCCCTTTCTCACCCTCTCATTTTTCTTTTGCAGATCATTCCAATATAATTGACATACATCTGTGCCTTCTGTCTACATAGACACCTTCTAACTGCAATAATAATGATACAGTTCTTAGGAGTAACATGAATCATCTTCCCATAAGAATGTAAACAGCTTAACCATATCAATTCCCTTATGATTTCTCTCTTATGTTTACCTTTTTATGCTTTTCTTGAGTCTTGTGTTTGAATGTCAGATTTTCTATTCAGCTCTGGTCTTTTCATCAAGAATGCTTGAAAGTCCTCTATTTTATTAAATATCCATTTCCCCCCTGAAGGATTATACTCAGTTTTGTTGGGTGGGTTGTAATCCTAACTTCTTTGCCTTGTAGAATATCATATTCCAAGCCCTCTGCTCCTTTAATGTGGAAGCCACCAAATCTTCCATGATCCTTACTATTGCTACATGATAATTGAATTGTTTATTTCTGGCCACTTGAAATATTTTCCCCTTGACCTGGGAGCTCTGGAATTTGACTATAATATTCTTGGGAATTTTTGTTTTGGCATTTCTTTAAGGAGGCGATTGGCAGTTTCTTTCAACATCTATTTTACCCTCTGGTTCTAGAATATCAGGGCAGTTTTCCTTGACAATCTCTTGAAAGATGATGTTTAGGTTCTTTTTTTATCATGGATCTCTGGTAGTTTAATAATTCTTAAACTATTTCTCCTCAATCTATTTTTCAAGTCAGCTGTTTTTTCTGTTTCTGCTATTTTTTCATTCTTTTGACTTTGTTTTATTGTTTCTTGATGTCTCATGGAGTCATTAGCTTTCCACATTCCCAATTCTAATTTTTAAGGAATTATTTTCTTCAGTGAGCTTTTGTATCTCTTTTTCTATTTGTCCAATTCTGCTTTTTAAGGAGTTCTTTAATTTAGTGAATTTTTGTGCCTCTTTTACCATAGGCCAATTCTGTTTTTAAAGTGGTTTTTTTTTCAATATTTTTTGTGCCTCTTTACCAAGCTGTTAATTATATTTTCATAATTTCCTTGCAACACTCTCATTTTTTTCTCCAAATTTTTCCTCTGTGACTCTTGTCTCTTTAATTCTTCCAAGAATTATTGTTGGGTATGTGAAGCTTTGTTTGTAGTCATTTTCACACTATTGTCCTCTTCTGAGTTTGTGTCTTGGTCTTCCCTGTCATCATAGTAGCTTTTTATGGTCAAGTTCTTTTTTTGTTGTTTGCTCTTTTTTCCAGTCTATTTCTTGACTTTGGACTTTATGTTAAAGTTGAGCTCTGCTCACCTGGAGGTGGGGAGGCACTATGCCAAGCTTCAAGGTTTTTATGCTGCTGTTTTCAGGGCTAGTTCTGGGGGTCCACAAGTTTTCAGTGCTTCCAAAGTAGTATGATTCAGGGAGAGGTGTGGTCACTGCTCTCCTGGTCTGGGCTCTAGTCTTTACCCAGGAAGGGCCCCTACTCCTTGGCAGATGCAAGTGCTAGCACTCCCCTTCACTCTGGAACTGTGACCAGAGCCCCTGCCCCCTTGTGACCAACCAGAATCACTCTTCTCCATCCTGGAATTGCAACCCAGAACTGTGTATGGGCAATAGAATTGCCAATAAGCACCAGCTGTACCAGTACCAGAAATGGATCCCCTGTAATCTCTTTCTCATCAGTTATCTAACTGCCTTACATTCTCTGGGCTGAGAGCTCCCAAAGCTGTTGCTGCTGCTGCAGCCACTGTTGCAGGTGCCCTGTGGACAGGCCTCCACCCCATTGTGACAGACCTCTCCACCAAATTTCCCAAGTTTTCTTAGGCCAGAAAAATATCTCACCTCGAACTTTTGCTGTCTCGGCCACTCCAAAATTTTATTTGAGGCATTATTTTGAAGTTTTTTGGAGGGGAACATTGACAGAGTTCAGCTGGGTTGCTACCTCTAATTCACCATCTTGACTCCACCTAAATCAGTTTCTCAGGTACTGACATGATGTAATAGAAAAAGCACCGGATTTGGGGTCAGAGAAATTAGGTTCAAGCATAGCCTTTGCCATTTTTACCACCTAGCTGTGTGACCTTGGGTAAGTGAATTAATTTTTCTAGACCTCAGCATTTTCATTCTTCAAGTAAAAAAGTTAGGTCCCTTTAAACTCTAAATACATGATCTGGTGATGCCTGGGTTCTAGTCCCAGCCCTGTTACTACTTAACTGTGTGACCCTGGGCAAGTCTCCTTACTTCTCTGACACTCAGTTTCCTCATTTGTCAATACTAAAATATTTGGATGGATCTTGGATGTCTTTAATACAGGTCCTCTTTCCACAGGTACAGAATCCAACCCATTCTTAGTTTGCTATCCTTACCAATTAATCCCTGCCCCTTCTCTAGTAATGAATTCTCTGTTTCTCACTTTCCTTATCTGTAAAATGAGGCTTAGGTGATTTACACCAGCTTCCTTCAGGTCATCTCTGTATATAGCATCTGGCAAATAGTAGGTGCTTAAAATGCTTTTTCATTCATTCATTTATTCATTGAATCTTTCCTCTACACTTGGATGAGCTTTCAGCATCTCAAATTCAACATATCCAAATGGAACCCAATGGCTTTCCTCCAAATGCCACCCATTCCTAATTTCCCTATTACCACCATCCTTTCAGTCACCTTAGCCTTGTGTTGTCTTCAACTCTTCCCTCTCCTTCACCCCACCATCACCCCATGATTGGTTAGTTACCAAGTCTTATTGATTCTATCTTCACATCTCTGGTCTCTGCCCCACTCTCTCTACTTACAGAGCTAGCATACCAATTCAGTCCCTTATCACCTCTCCTCTGGGCTATTGAAATAGCCTCTTAACCAGTCTCTCTACTTCTGTCCTCTCCATTCCTTTCTCCACATAGTGCTCAAATTGTTCTTCCTAATACACCAGAATGACCATGTCACTCCCCTCCTAAAACAACTTCAGTAGCTCTCTTTTGCCTCGATGATAAAATCAAAACTCCTCAATTTGGCATTTAAATCCCCATAGGGTATGTCTCCAACCTATCTTTCTGGGTTGTTTTCGCATTTCTCTAGCCAAATTAGTCAACTTGCAGCTTCCTATATTTCACAGTTCATCCCCCATCACCACACCTTTGAACAGACTCTTCCCCATGACTGAAATTCTCACTCCTCTGCTCCAATGACTTCATAGGGAGGGTAGTACCTGAACTAGGCTTTCAAAGATGGACAGAATGTCCACAAATGGGGATGGAGATGGGGGGTGGCATCCAAGGCATGGGGAAATGGCTAGAACAAAAACATGGGGAAATAGTCACTGGTCTAGTTTGGCTGGAATGTAGTAAACATGAAGTAGGGTAAGATAAAGCTAGACAGGTCATTTGGAGCAAGATTGTGGAGGGCTTTGAATGGCAGAAGATCTTTTTATTTTTATTTGGTGAACAGTGGTAGCTACTGAAGACAATACAATCTACAATTCTTTCTCTCTTCTTCTTTTTCTCTTTTCTCTCCCTCTTTTCTTTTTTCTCTCTTACTCTTTCCTTTTGTCTCTTTCCTGTTTCTTTCTCTCCCTTCTTTCATTCCTTCCTTCCTTCTTTCCTTTCTTCTTCCCTCCTTTCCTTCTCATTCAAAAAGATTTTATTGATATCTTTTGTTTTTATATCACCTTTATTTCCCAACAGAGAACCTCCCTTAAAACAGATGGGGGAAAAACAAAGAAAAAGTAGCCAGTTCAGCAAAACTAGCCAACATCCTGACCAAGTCCAACATTGTATGCAGGGAATACTTTTCTTATAATCTTCCCTCAACCCCCAACCATCCTAGATACATAGTAGGCACTCAGTAAAAACTAATTAATTGAATTGATAATTCAGTCACTAGACTGAATTGAATTCAATTAAATTGCTTTGAATAAATTAATAATTGACCTGAATTGAACTGAATTTTACTACTTGTACTGAAATGAATGAAATTCAATTCAATTCAGTTCATTGCGGTTCACTTCAATTCAATTGAACTCATTTGAGTCCCATTTCCAGGGAAGTTGTTGTTTCCTGGATTACTCTTTCCATCCCATGTCATCCTTCTCAGGCAAGATCACTCTGGATGAAGATCTGGAACGGACTGTGTTTGTGGCCAACCTGGGTACGATTGGCCCCCTGGAAAGCGTGTCCATCTTCATCAGCACCTCCTCAGAGCTCCAAACTCTACCCAGTGGAGCCGTAAGGGTCCTGCTGCCGGCTGTGTGTGTCCCACCAGTCCCTCACTCAGATAACAGCATCTCTAGCCAACAGCCCCGAGGGTGAGAGACCCCCTTGCCCTTGCTAGGAGGCAGACCTCACCGTTTGGAGAAGAGCAATAGTAGGGTCTGCCTCATTGCTTTCATAGTCTGAATGCTGTAAGAATGGGGAGGGCAGTCCCTTTGGACCCCTTTCTGAAAGAGAGAAGGTCCATGAAAGCCTCTAATACCTTCTGGAGGCCAGATGAAGGCAGGCCACTTGGGAAAGGAAAGTGATCCCTCTGGGCCAACTCTGGGACTTGCACAGCTGAGGATGCTTATGAGACTTCTGGGTCCAAAAAGGCTATGAGTAGAAAGCAGGGGGACCCCTTTTTATCCTGTACTGAGGTTCTGTCCCACTTGTACCTGCCTTGCCTGGTGGAAAGTTTGGGGTAAATAGTGAATAAAGAATACAAGTAAAGGGCTGCCCCTGAGGCTGCCACTAACCATTCCATGTGGGGTAGAAGGTTCTACTGGACTCTGACTGTCAGAACAGACAGGCTCTCAAAAGTGGAAGTGGGGGTATCTGCTTTAACATCAATAAGTACTAGCCTTCTCTGATGCCTGGTGTGGAGCACTGATGGTAGTGGGCTCTAGAGCATGTAGGTTTTTCACTGTAGTCTGTAAGAGACTAGCCGAGGCAGTTACATCCTGGCCTTCTGCCTTCCACTCCCATCTCAATCACTGAGGCACAGATCTAGATTTTCAGAAAAATGGTCTTGAGTTATCAAAAGAATGGGGCAGATGATTCATTATCAGAAGTGGAGAAAAGAACATTTAGGGCGTTATAAGAGAAATAATCTCCTCTCTGACTTTATGTGGTAGCTAACTCTGTCAAATCCCTTCTACATGTGACTTTCCCCATCACAGTTTCGACAGGTCATGGGTCGGCATAAGAAATTAAAAGAGAATTTGGGGGAGTTTTCTGGAAGCCTCAGACAACTTGTGAAGGCAGCAGACAACATAGAAAAAGTTCAGAAACTCAGAAATGCATAAAATAAATATATAATATTATATAATATCAACATATTTTATCTTCTAATACCATAATAATTCAGACTTCTTCTCTGGTACAAAGGGAGGGTCAAAAAATTTTACACAGATTTTCTAGATCATGGGGGTGCCATGTCCCTAACCCTGTGATGTGGAAGGAGTAACTGTATAGATTTACCACAGTGCAGAAATCATGAAGGCAAAAGCCTAGGTTTTATTATTGTGCTCAAGAATAAACTCAGGCCTCAGAGAAAATCTAAACATTATGAGGATTCTGACAAAGCTTCTTATAGGCAAAATTACATCAGAGTTGACAGAGAAATGATTCATTTACATATTGCAAACTTGTACATTCCTCTTGGGCCATACAAGTCAAGAAGATAGATTTATGACCCCATACATCCTTCGATGTCATAAAAGGTGAACACTTAAACAGTCACAATCTCATATATCCTTTAGGACACAAACTTCATCAAACAAACTCTACAGGTGAACTAAGTCAGGTTACAGATTAACCGTAGTTAGAGGATTCACAAACAGACCGAGGAGGAGGATTTACAGGTTGCTAAGGAGTCGGGGACATTTAAGATTCTTCCTCTGGCTTCCTATCTAAGGAATGTTTAAGGATCTAAGTCAATTTTCACATCCCATGGGATAGCTTATGGTCAAGTGAGGTTAATATTAACCGAAATTTGCAGGAGCAATGAATGGCCTTGAGTCCTGAATAATAAAAGGAGATTTAAAATTCCCATATAAGGGAACATAAGATCAAAGATTTTTGAATTGGAAGGAACCTTGGAGATCAATTAATTTCGACCCCGGGATTTTACATATGAGGAATAAGTGGCCCAAAGAGATGGCAATTATGTGAATCGTCTATAATCACAGGGGCTAGAGACCAGACCCTGTGATTTTATTAATAGAAGGGAGTCCCAGATGAGGAAATGCCTTCTGCCAATGCAGGACACCTTCTCTGCAATTTATAGTCTTAAAGACTTGCCTCGGCACTCACTGAGAGGTTAAATGACTTGTTCTGGGTCACACAGTCAGAATGGAGAACATGAGCCCAGGTCCTCCAGGCTTCAAGGCCAGTTCCCTATTATTCATGATCCTTCAGCACCTCTTGGTGCCTAAGATCATTGCAATAGTAATTGGCAAGGGTAAGTTTGGAACCTGGATTCCAAATCCAGCATTCTTTGCAGTAGACTGATTTTTGGTACAGATAGGACATCAATCAATGGCATCATTGGCAAATCTCAAAACCCAATACACTGGCAGCTATCATGGATATTAAAGGTGGAATGGCCCTGAGAATACAGAATGTCAGAGATGGGAGGGCCCTTAGAACACAGGATGTCTGAGCTGGGAGGGACCTTAGAACACAGGATGTCTGAGCTGGGAGGGACCTTAAAACACAGGATGTCTGAGCTGGGAGGGACCTAAGAACACACAATGTCAAAGCTGGGAGGGTCCTTAGAACAGAGAGTGTCAGAACTGGGAGGGGCCTTAGAGACCTTCTGGTCCCACCCCTTGCTTTGCAGAGGAGGATCCCTTAAGACTCAGAGACTGGACGTGCCCTGCCCAAAATGACACTGTTTATCAGCAGTAGGAGCTCAGGTCACCTGACTCCCAGTCCAGAACTTTTCCTGTTCCATCCCAGTGCATCTCATGGTCATGGACCACCTCGTGTCCCTCTGAGTCTCCCTACCTTTGAGTGAAACCCATCAGGGACCATAGAACCATCTCCATAGCCTCCTCCCAAATCCCATTCACTCCTGCCCCAAGTCTAGTTTCTGACTTTTCAGTTCCACTCCAATGCAGGGCCTCTTATCCATTCTTGGTAACCAACCCTTTTAGAGAACACTGAGCCAAATCTCTCCCCCATCCCAGAGCTGCATCAGGGCTAGAACTTGGAGTGGGAGGCAAGGAGAATCATAGAGCCCCCTGCTAGCCCTTTAACTGGCTTCCTGTGCCTCTAACCCACTGGCTCAGTCCCCTGGCCTACAACTGGCCTCTCCCCTGCGCTGTTGCTACCATCTCCCCACCCAGAAAGCCCATGAATTCTGCCCAAACTATTTGCCCTTTCCTTACAGAAGCAAACATATCTGTATGCCCAAGAACTTTGAGTACTCCAGCAAGTCCCTGTGTATAGCCCAGCTGTTGGACTATGAAATCACCAACCCCATGGAGTATGACTTTAGCTTCCAACTAGAGATCCGCGGACCTTGCCTACTTGCAGGTGAGTGGCCATCATGGCTTTTCTTGGCTCCAACTGCCCTTATCCAGGGACCTTCATAAATAATCCACTGGAAGGAAGGGTTGAGGGAGGAAGGGGTTTGAACTCATACATGAAATCTCATAAGGAGGAAGGAAAGAAGGAAGAAGTGTTTATTAAGTGCCATGCTCACTTTGTGCCAGGCACTGTTCTAAATGCTTTATAAATATTATCTCATTCAATACTTACAACAAGTTTAGGAAGCTAGGTGCTATTATTATCCTCCTTTTACAGATGAGGAAACTGAGGGAGATAGCGGTTAAGTGACTTGCCCAAGGTCACACAGCTAGTATGTGTCTGAGGCTGGATTTGAACTCAAGTCTTCCCACTCTAAGCCCAGCATGCCATCCACTTTGCCACCTAGCTAGTAGTCTCTATAAAGCACATTGTTTCTTGTCCTCAAACCTTAAAGATCATGGCTACCAGTCTGGCAGGCTCCCAAATGGGCAATTAGTGAAGATGGCACATTAGTCAGTTGCCTCCACTGGAAAATCTCAAGTCTCCATACCATGATCGCAATCACAGAATGTTAATGTAAGAAGGAAATTTAGAACACATGTTGTTAGAATATGGCCTGTCAGAGCTGGAACAGACCATAGATTATGGAATGTCAGAACCCAAAAGGGCATTAGAGGTCATCTGGCTCAACCCCTTCATTTTACAGAGGGCAATACCAAGGGCCAGAGAACTGAAGGGATTTGCCTATGGTCACACAACAGGTTAATGCCAGAGCAAAGACCTGAACTCAGGTCACTAGGTTCTCAGCCCAGACCTCTTCCCACTCCATCATAGAATCTCTCCTCTGGTTGTGGATTGCTATGTGTCTTTATCTCTCTGCTTCCTTCCCTCCCTCCTTCGTGAACCCACTCTACCCCACCACATGTGTCTCACTGTCTATTTTCCTTTCTGTCCCATTCAGGAGTTGAAAGTCCCACCCATGAGATCCGAGCAGATGCTGCCCCATCTGCCTGCTCTGCCAAGAGCATCATCATCACGTTGGCCAACAAGCATACCTTTGATAGGCCTGTGGAGATTCTTATCCACCCCACTGGTAGGGCAGCCTTGAAACCCCCAACTCTTCTCTCGTGGCTTTGGTGTATCCCTGAAATGGGTCATTTGCCAAAGTTGAGGGCCCTGATATTGAGTGGCCATTGACAACACCCACACTCTTGCAGTATAAAAACAGCCAAACTTAGTGCCATATTAGTGAGTATCATTAATTGAATAAAAAGCCAAGAGGTAGCACATTCTTTCCTCCAAGCTATTACATTCCAAATGAACTCTTCCCTGGCCCATCTTTAGACATCTTTAGAAACATAACACCATAGATTTTGAGCTAGGAGAATTACAGACTGTTTAGTCCAATCTACTCATTTTATATGTGGGGAAATTAAGGCAGATGAAGGTTAAGTGACTTGGCCAGGATCACACAAGCACTAAATGTCTGAGGCTGGATTTGAATCCAGGTCTTCCTGAATCCAGGTGGAGTGCTCTATCCATTGTACAACCTCTCTGTTGCTTTGATCATTGGCTCCAGGGCTGAAAGACCCTTTAGATCATCTAGAACAGCAGTTCTCCTTTTACACTCTTAAAAATTACTGAGGACCCCAAAGAGTTTTCATTTATGTAGGTTATATCTAGTAATACTTACTATACTAAAAATTAAAACTGATAAAATTTTAAAACATTTGTTAACTTGTTTTAAAATAACAATACTAAACCTGTTACATATTAACATAAATAATGTATTTTAAAGAAAATTATATTTTCTGAAACAAAAACTTGAAAATTGTGGTATTGTTTTGCATATTCTTGCAAATCTCTTTAATGTCTGGCTTAATAGAAGACATATATTTTCCTGTCTGCTCCTGCATTTAATATCTTGTAATAAGGTTTTTGTTGTTTTTTTTTTTCAGTTGAAGTGTATGAAGAAAATTTACCCTCTCACAGATATGTAGTTGGAAAAGGGAGGAGTATTTTAGCAGGCAAATAACATCTTTGTATGATTGTGAAAATAGTTTTGCCCTCACAAACCCTCTGAAAAGGTCTCAGGGACCCCTAAGGGTCTTCAGACCACACTTAAAGAACCTCTGATCTAGACCAACCCCCTTGTTTTCAGAGGAGGAAACTGAGGCCCTAAGTGATTTAGTCATGGTAACATAATTCAGAAGTGACAAAATCTGGATTTGAGCCCCAGGCTCTCTGAGTCCCAAAGAGCCATACTGCTCTTGTCTGTGACTCTTGTCTGGGTCATCATCAGACCCTCCAGGCCAGAGTGGGCAAAGAATGATGTCTATCTTTTCAGAAATACTTAATTATCTACCCTAACTTCTGTTCCCTGAGCTTCCTCCCAGTCTCCCTCAGCTCCAGAATTCAGCATAGCTGTGTTTCTTTTCCTGACACTTTTCTTCCTCCTTCCCTCCTCCTCACCTAGAGCCTCACATACCACACATCCTGATGGAACAAGGGGACATGACCCAAGGACAGTTTGAGCAGCACTTGAAGGGAAGAAGTGACTTTGCCAAAGGGACCAAGAAAATTATCAGCGCTCAGAGAAAGGTAAGGCAGGTGACTGGCTTGGGCTGGTAGAAACCTGAGGAGGGGAGGAAAGGGGAACACCATCCTTGTCTTTAGGAAATGAGGTACAGAATTATAGAACTACTCAAATTTGGGGTCGAGAGGGTCCTCAGAGATCATCTATGCCAACCTTTTTTTCAGAAAAGGAAACTGAGGCCCAGAGCACAGTATAACAGAAAATCATTCATTCCACGTGTATTATGTGCTAGGCACTGTCCAAGGTGCTGGAGATACAAGGACAAAAATTAAAGTCCCTTCCTGCAAGATGTTTACATTCTGCTAGAAAAAGATGTGCCTAAAAAAGTAAATACACACACATACACAATGTATTTTTGCAGGCAGGACACTAGCAATTGGGGATGGTGGGGGAGGTCAAGATGGGCTTCCTATAAGAGATGGCACTTGAGCTGAACATAGAAAGAAGCTAGGGATTCTATTAGGCAGAGAGGAGCAGGGAGTGCATACTAGACATGAGTCATAGCCTGTGCAAAAGCCCAGAGGCAAGAGATGGGATATTATGCACAGGAAACAGCAAGCACAGGCTGGTTTACCTGGGACATGGGGTGCAAGAAGGAGAATAAAGTACAAGCCCCAAAGTTTGGCTGGAGCCATACTGTAGAGGGATGGAAATGCCAGTCTGAGGATTTTGTATTTTAACCTCAAAGCAAGAGGGAGCCAATGCATCTTCTTGAGCAGGGAAGTAATGAGGTCAGGTACACACTTTAGGAAACGTCAGTTGGCAGCTATGCGGAAGATGGATTGGAATGGGGAGAGACTAGAGACAGAGTCCGTATAAGTGGTCCTCATAGTGGTCCAAGAAGGAGATGATGAGAACTTGTGAGAAGGTTGGACGAGATTATCTCTACAATCCTTTCGAGCTCTAACATTCATTTGCTGAGTGTAAGAGTAGAGAGGTGATGGGATTTATCCAAGATCACACACTGAGTAGATGGAAGAGAAGCAACTGTAGCCCAAGGTTCGTATGCTTTCCCCTACATCACACAAGCTTGCTACATAACAAGGCCTAGGCAGATGAGAAGGGAGACCACATTAGTCCCACCTCCAATTTCCTGCCCTGCCCCCTTTTGCTCTTGATCCTAATCAAATTTCCAAACATCCTCAGATCTCCATTGAGAGCAAGGGTCTCAAGGCAGGAAGGTCTTCTCAGGGCTTTCCCTTCTTAGGAGAGCAGTGGATGAGAAGAACCCAGGCATTCATGTCTAATGGACTCTGGGTTACATTTTTTTTTAGCCATAGACCTCATTTTCAAAATGAGGTCATAGTTCTTGCTCATTAGATTCCTCACTGACTGGGGAAAAGCATTGTGTCTGGAGTTGGGGGACCTGGGTTCAACTTCCATCTTTGCTTTTCTCTGTGTAGTCTAGACTTCAGTTGCCTCATCTATAAAATGGGAAGGTTGGTCTCTGAGGTTCCATCTAGCTATAGTTATGTGATATTATGATCATTCTAATAGCACATTTTGGGGGACCAGATTTGTAACTGTTTTTGAGCATGGAACTCCCAGTGAGGTGGAAAGCACCTCTGCTCAGAGTGGCCACTACTTTGTAAATTTGTCATCTTAGAGATTTGCCACAGGCCCAATGAGGTTAAATGACTTGCCAGTCTATGTCAGACACAAGATTTGAATCATACGTCATCCTGACTCTGACGCTGGTTCTTTATTCAACACACCATACTGCCTCTCTATACAATGATAACAAGAGTAAAAACTGAAAGTAATACCTGTAATATCTAGGGGGCCCAGTGGATAGAGGGCTAGACCCAGATTTAGGAAGACCTGAATTCACACCTGTGGGATCCTGGGCAAGTCACTTAACCCTCTTTCTGCTTCAGTTACCTCATCTGTTCAATGTGAATAATAGCAGCACTTACCTCCCAGGGTTGTTGTGAGGATCAAACAAAATAAAGTTTGCTTTGCAAACTTTAAAACACTATATAAAGAATAGCTGGTTTGTTTTGGGGTTTTGGGGTGGGTTTTTTTTGGTTAAGTGACCTGCCCAGGGTCACACAGCTAGTAAGTGACAAGTGTCTGAGGCCAGATTTGAACTCAGTTCTTCCTGAATCCAGGGCTAGTGCTCTATCCACTGTACCATGTAGCTACCCCAAGACTAACTGTTTTTAATATTAAAACCTGTAATAGGGTTGTCATGATGATCAAATGGGACCAAGTCTGGTCATCACTTTTAAGACTTTGTAGTGCAAGAGACAGACAGACAGAGACAGAGAGGAGAAAGAGACAGAGACAGAGACAGAGAGGAGAGAGACAGACAGAGACAGAGAGGAGACAGACAGAGACAAAGACAGACTATTGTTATGAATGGGCTTATATGCATAAATATGCATATTTATGTATAGCATACACACATGTACAGATAGTATGTGCGTATGGATGTATATATGTATGTATGTATGTATGTATACACACACACACATATTGGATGGACTAGATAGTTGGGAGGGTTAGAGCCAAGTATTGAGGAAGCCAAGGTCAGGGGTTCCCCCTGCAGGCCCAGTTATGGGGCCCAGGCATCAACCATGACCACCACGCCACCCCACCCTCACCATCTTGCAACCTCCCACTATGGGGATAACAGGCCAGTGGCTTCAAATGACTTTAACATTCCCGCTGTGGGAGTCACACTTCAGAATGTTCTGCCAGGGTGAGGCCAAGCCTTATCTCTGCACTATCTATCTGACTCAGCTGGAAAAGCCCCAGGCTAGATTCCTTTGGAGAAGTGGATGGGCAGAGCCAGGCCTCCCAAGCCTCCCCACATCAAAACTCCAACCCTCAGGCACAAGCAGAGCTGTCTGGGTCATCGGAAGATTCCTGGCCCACGGGTAGGGGAAGCACCCCCTGGGTCTCATGAACTGCTGTTTAAATGAGTTAGCTCGGGAAATTCAGCCTCAAAAGGGAATTAATTTGTCACCTTTGGTTGGTTATGCAAATGCCTTGAATTCTCATTAGCTCCAGGGCTGGCAGAGATCAACCAGCTCCAGGGTGAGGATGAGATGTTTATTGTAATTGGATAGTGGCAGAGGCAGGAGTGACAGCAGGGAGATGCTAAAGAATCTTCCCCGTATAGGCCCTGCTGGGCCTGCCTCAGAAGCCACCTTTACCTTCCTTGCTTCAGAAAATCTTCCCTGGGACAGTACAGGCTGCCACTATATGTGACTATGACCATGGAGGACTCTGATTGGAATCATAGAGTGTTAGAGCTAGAATGCTAAAACATGCAATGTCAGAACTGGCAAGACCTTGGAAGGTCAAATGTTCAAACTTGGAGAAGCCTTAGAATAGAGAATATCAGAGCGGGGAGGGCCCTTAGAGCACAGGATGTTAGAGTTGAGAGGGACCTTAGAACACAGGATGTCAGAGCAGGAAGGGCCCTTAGAACACAGGATGTGAGAGCTGGGAGGTCCCTTAGAACACAGGATGTTAGAGTTGAGGGAGACCTTAGAACACACAATGTCAGAGCTGGGAGAGCCCTTACAACCCATAAAATGGCCAAATTGGGAGAGGTCTTAAAACATAGAATGTCAGAACAGCAGAACTCTGAGGGTGCTTAGAACAATCAACAACTATGAGAGGCCCAGTGGATAGGAGACGGGAAGGTCTGGGTCCAGAGCCCACCTGAGACACTCACTGGCTATGTGACCCTGGGCAGGTTAGGGAACCTCTCTCAGTCTCATTTTTTTCACCTGTTTATCTGTGGATAGAAATAGTGCCTGATCCTCAGAATTGTCAGCATCAAATGAGATAATATAGGTAAAAACACTTTGGAGAAATACAGTATTGCAATGACAGTACTGGTGGGAATGAAGAAAGAGTATCATAAAATGACAGAGCCAGTAGGAACTGGAGGGAGGACCTCACCCAGTGCTATCATTTTATGGAAGAGGTCATTGAGAGCCAGACAGGGCAATTGACTTTTTCCTAGATCCCCCAGGTAGTGAATGGCAGAATCAGGATTCAGACCCTGATCTTCTGACTCCAAACCCAGTGTTCTTTTCACTATACCTCCCTGTATCCTGACCCTGCAGAAAGACAGTTCTCAATCAGCCATTCTCCTGGCACGGGGGAGGCGGGGGATGCAAGAGGGTAGAGATTATTTCCAGGCCCAGGGAATTCAGAATCTTCAAGGTTATCAGTTCCCAGGGTGATTTAACAATTCCCAGCTGGGCGAAGCATTTCACTTCTCTGACCCTTAATGTCCTCGACTATAAAAAGATGATAATTAAATGTGCACTCCCTTCTTTCCTGATGGGATGGTTATAAGAATCTAATGAGATAATTATGTAAAGTACAAAAAGCATTATGTAAATATGAGTCTTTCTTTTTTATCTGGACCTATGATTTCATCATTGTGGGAAACTGCAGGTTTGGAAACTCCCTTAATGAAAACTGAAAATTTTGTAACTTAGAATCTTACTGAATTGCTTGGGGGTACTATGAGATTAAATGCCTTGCTCATGGTCACACATGCCAATATGTGTCAAAGACCAGGTTTCCTGGCTCCAAAGCCAGTCCTCAACTGAACATGTCATACTTTCTCTATTATTACTATTTAGTAAGCCTTATTCTTTAGTAAGGGCACTTCTCATGATGGCCCAGCTTGACATGGAGTTGACCCTTAATTCTCAAAATCATAGTCTCAGCACTAAAAAGAACCTCAGAGGCCATCTGAACAGGGATAACTGCTAGTGGTCACCCAGACTTTACTTGTTGGTTTCCAGAGCAATCTTCAACACTGGACCAAATTGATAAGATGAAATTTAATAGGAATCAATGTAAAATCTCATCCTTAGGTTCAAAAAATCAATGTCTCAATTATACAATGGGGAAGGCATGACTAGACATTAGAGGGCTATAATGGACTGAAAGTTCAAAAGATGAGTTAATAATGTGACATGGTAGCTGGGAAACAATTACAACTTCAGGCTGTATTAAGAGAGATGGAATGACCAGAATTAGGAAAATGACAGTCCGCCATCAGACCATATAGAGAGAATACTAGGTTCATTTCTGGGCTTAGGTTCAATTTTAGGAATGACATTAAGAAGCTGGAGAGCATCCAGAAAAAGGACAACCAATATGGCAAGGAAAGACTCAAGTTCATGCCATGAGGATCATTGGAAGGAATGGAGTAGTTGGCCTAGAGAAGACTTGAGGAGTGGGGCAAGAATTGATACCTGTATTCAGGTATCTAAATGACAGTCCAGTGGAATAGAGATTAGTCTGGTTCTGCTTGGCCCCAGTGGGAAGAACAGGAAGCCACAGACAGAAGTTTCAGTGGCCAGTTCAAGCTTGACATCAGGGAAACCTTCCTAACTATGAGAGCTAGAATGGGAGGCCTCAGAAGGTGTAGATTTGTCACCAAGCAAAAGCTGTATGTCCACTCACTGCACAAGATATAGAGGAGATTACTGTTAAGGTATTGATTGGTCTAGGCTTTGATAGCCCCTGAGGTCCCTCCCACCTCTGAGATGTTGTGATTCTGTTGGGGAACTCTGGCTTTTGGACAGCTCTAACTTTTCTCAAAGGCTCTATTAGAAGAGCACAAGAGGTAAGATCTCTGGCAGGTCTTACCAAGGTGGGAAGGCTTCAGTTACAGACCCAATGGCAGTAGGGGTATCTGCCACCTACCCAAGCATAGGAAGACATCTCCAGAGGGATGGCCACCAAGTGATGGAATTTTTCAGGCACAGAAACTCATAAAAAAAAAAACCTTCTTATAAGACATGGAAGAGAGGATCTCCTGGGCAATAGAAATGATTAGTAAAACCCCATATCTAGCATTTAGTAGGCACTTAATGTATGCTTGTTGATTGATTGACTTTTAAAGTGTAGATGCATGATCATAATAACCATGGATGACGCTCATTATAGGGCTTTCAGATTCTGATGGACTTTCTCATTTGATTTTTCTAACAACCCAGTGAAACAGGTCTTCTAAGTATTAATATCCTCTTTTACAGATGAGGAAACAGTGAGGTTAAGTAACTTTTCTATAGCCAAGCAGATGGTAAGTGTCAGAACCAGGATCTAAACCCAGATTTCTCCTGACTTCAAGTGCAGCATTCTTTTCATTATATCACACTGCCTTTCGCAAGACCATCTGCTTTGGGGCCAACCTTGTGCTAGGAACTGACAGTCAGGAAAAGGGGAGGGTACAAAGACACAGAAGGGATATGGTCCTTGTACTTAAGGAACTCACAAAGGACAGAACATATACCCATATACCCATATATGAAACAACTAGAGAGCACTCACAGAAAAACAACAGTCACAAAATGACTACAGAAATACTAAGACAGACAGCAAGCAGAGGAGTTAAGTGGAGTCAATCCTGAAACACTTCTTGGAGGAGGCAGGTGGTGGGTTGATGGGCAAGTGGTGGCAGGTGCCATGGGTGCCAAGGTGTCTTCCCCCTTCATAGTACTTTCTGGTAGGCATGCTACACTCTAAACTGGGGTCTGACCAGAGCACAGACTGGTCTATTCTGTCCTCCCCAAATGCTGCTTTTTTCCACCTCTGGGCTTTTGCTCACAGTTTCCTACACCTGACATGCCTTCCTCCCCTGTCTTCACCTGCTGAATTCTATGACCCATCCTTTATTTAATTTTTTTTAAATTTTAATTTTTTTTTGTTTTTTTTTTTGACCCATCCTTTAAAGCTCAAATTAAATACTAGCTTTTCCAGGAACCCTTCCCTCATCCCACCCATGAGTAATGCTCTCTAGTCATTAGTAATTAGTTAGTAATTCATAATGCACCCACCTAAACCTCACATGGCATTTTACCTTGCACCTCTCTGATTCTCCAATCAGGTAATACTGTGTATAGTGGTCATCATACCCCCCTGCTAAACTGTGAGCTCCATGAGGGCAAGAACTGCACTTTATCTAAATTCTCTATCTCCTCCAGCACTAAGCACTGTGGGTGCTTGATCAGTGTTTGTTGACTGACTTGTGACTGACAGGCAGCAGGCTGGTATAAAGTTCCAGAGAGCTTGCCGGAGCCCTCAGCTAGTTTCACCAAACCAGCTATTCTCTTTGTCCTCCAGATGGAAATAATCAGGAAACGTCTCCACAAGGATATTCCTCATCACTCAGTACTCATGCTCAACTTCTGCCCTGACCTCCAGCCAACTCAGTCCAGCCTTCGCAAGACCCATGGAGAGTTCATTTTCCTCATCGACAGAAGTGGAAGCATGAGTGGAAGCAACATCAACAGAGTCAAGGTATCAATGAACTTTGGGGTGGATTTGACAGAATATCAAATCAAATCTACAGTATTGTTCAATTACATGAACATATCATAATTTATTATCCTGCTTTGTTATAAATTTTCAGGTTCTTTGCTATTATAAATAAAAGTTATAGATATTTCTTAAAATCACCTAAACCCATAGCACTTTACAAAGGAGAATCACAGGAATTAACAGACAAATAACAAATGTTTGATTACAAATTTTTTTCTCATTAAAGGTGATATACATCCAGTCATTACCCTGCTGATCTCTTTGAGTAATAACCCTTCCTATCTTGTCACATTTTCTATTATGCTTCATTTTATATAATTGTATACTTACAGTATTATTCAATTATGTGAACATCATCATTTGTCATACTTTGTCAGAAATTTTGGGGGTTTTTTGCTATTGTAAATAAAATAACTATTGATATTAAAAAAAAAAAACTAGAACCTTTAAACCCCATCAGGATTTTGTGATAAGTAGCAGCTTTGTTTCCATTTCCAAACACAATTGATAAAATGACCACCTCACTGATGAGTAGAAACGTAGCTGTCATAAGATTCCAAAGCTGAAAGGGACCTCAAGTGGCATCTAGTCAGGCCATTACATGAAATAGGACCACCCCCTTCTATAATCTCCCTTACAAGTGATCATCTAATTCATGCTTGAACACTTATAGGAATGAGGGCTCCCATCCTTTGAGACATTCCATTGTCAGTCAATAAGCATTTATTAAATGCTTACTGTATGCCAGGAACTGTGCTAAGCACTGGAGATACAAATGAAGGCCAAAACATGGTCCCTCCCCTCAAAGAACTTGTGTTCTAATGAGGGACTTGTCAATAAATAGATACATATAAGATGCATAATAATAGGATACATGTGACACATAATAATAATATTTATATTGTGCTTGAAGGTTTGCAAAGACTTCACATGTAAATTCATTTGATCCTCACAATAATCCTATAATTACTATAGTTATCCCCATTTTACAGAATAGGAAACTAAGGCGTAAAGAGATTAAGTGACCTGTCCAGAATCACATAGCTAGGATTTGAGGCAAGATTCAAACTCAGGTCATCTGGACTCCCAGTCTTGTGTTCTCTCCACTGTGCCACATAGCTGCTACAGAATAGAAGGATGACAGCTTTGGAGGGGAAGGCTATGGTGCCATTTAAGATGAATCTTGAAGAAGGCCAGAGACATTTTAGGAGAAAGGGAGAGCATTATAGGCACGAGAAATAGCCAGTGCAGTTCTGATTTGGGAAAATATTCCTTCTCTTGAGCTGAAAGTTCCCTCCTTGTTAAATACCTCCTATCAAGCCTGGTTCTACCTGACTTTATTCCTCAAGCATAGGATTTAGAGCTGGAATAATTAAAATAGCATTTGTATAGTACCCTAAGACCTACAAAGTGTTTTACAAATATTACCTCATTTGATTTTGACAACAACCCTGGGAGGTAGGTGCTATTATTACCCCCATTTAACAGGCGAGGAAACTGAAACAAATAGAGTTTAAGTGACTCACCCAGGTTCACACAGTTAAATAATTTGAACTCAAGTGTTCCTGAGCCAAAGTCTAGTGCTCTATCCACTGTGCTACCTAGCTGGGAGACACATTAGAGATTTGGTCCAACCTTCACATTTTTATAGATGAAGAAACCAAAGCCCAATGAATATATATGACTTGTTCAAGTTCATACACTTAGCATGGATTCAAATCCATCTCTTTTGAGAAAAGCATTATAGTGTAATGGAAATAGCATTAAATTTGGAGTCAGATGATCTCTGCTTAAGTCTTAACTCAACTACTTATTATTTAGGTGACTTTACTTCTCTAAGTAGCAGTTTCCTCACCTCTAAAATGGAGGAGAGGGAGATTTGAGGGTTCCAGATATCATCTCTAATGTCTTTTCAATTTTGACTATCATAAAATCCTATTGCCTGAAATCCATTGCTCTTTTGACTACAGCACACTGGTATGTCATGTTATAGGGTGACTTACTGTGAATTTACTGCAGAGTCCTAGAATCAAATGAATCTTGATTTAGAGAGGAGAGAGGGAGGAAGGGGGAGAGAGAGAGAGTTGGCTATTCTGGGACCAGCTACTTCCTCCAAAGGATTCAAAGTTAGCCAGTTCTTGCTTTGGAAAGCCCTGCACCACCCACCAAAGTCCTGGGTAGCTGTGTCCATGGTACTAAATTTGCCCCTGCACTCCCTCAGAGAGCTTCCAACCACACTAGAAGTGGGCAGATTGTTCTAAATAGTCCCTCAGATTGTGTAGGGAAATTCATCCTAGAAAGAGAATGGAAGAAGGTAGAGATGATATTCTATTTCACAGAGAATAGCCTTCCATCTTAGCCAAATCACTATGTTCAGGAAACGCTATTTCCAAATTATTTTGGTGTGGTGGTATAATGAAGTGATTCTCAAATCGGGTCCCTTTCAAGGTGTCCATGAGGTCAAAGCTATTCTTACTGTAATATTAAAATGTTTTAATTCCTAATACAGTCAATATTGACAGCTATAATCCATATAAATAGAAGGGCTTTGAGCAGGGTCCTCAATAATTTTCAAAAGTACAAAGGCATTCTAAGACCAAACAATTTGAGAACCATAGATGTAGTTAGTGGAGAGAACATTGGAGTGGGAGACAAGAGATCTGAGTTAAAATCTCTCCATTCTGCTATTTCCTAATTATGTGACCTTGGACAAATCACTTCCCTTCTTGGGATGTCAGTTTTCTCACATGCAAAATAAGTGGACAAACTGATCTCAAAGGTCCCTTCCATGACATCCTATGTTCTAATGTCCCTTTACATCTAAAATTCTACATTCCAAGTTATGTTCCAGGTCCATTATCTGATCTGATGAGAGTATCTTTATTCTTTCTATTTAATTTCACTGAGGTTAAAATGATTTCTTCAGTGAAGAACATTGAATACCCAGGCTGAAACTGGCCTATTTAGAAAGTGTCACATAAGTCATGGCCAAATGTCACTAGGAAGGGCAGCTAGTTGGCGCAGTGTACCAGCCCTGAAGTCAGGAGGACCTGAGTTCAAATCCAGCCTCAGACCAAACACTTGACACATACTAGCTGTGTGACCCTGGGCAAGTCACTTAACCCCAATTGCCTTAAAAAAAAATGTCACTAGGACCAGTAGTCTACTTACTATATCTGTAAATTGTGAGGACCCCTGAAAAGCTTGGTGGTCCCTCCTGGCAGGACTCCCAGGTGGGAGTGAATGGGAGTAGGGAAAGGAGGAAAGCCTATACAGCCTTTCAGTAAATTTGATTTCCAACAGCTTGTCCTATTCTTCATATGCTGTTCCCCCCGCAAAAAAAAAAAAAAAAAAAAACATTATTGGGTGGGAGGATAAGCTGTAATAGGTGTGAGCAGAAGCAATATGTATGAATCAACAGAAGCTGCTATTAAATTAGTGTCTAATGGAAAAATATACTGATATTGACTTATTTGGTGGAAAAATAGAATATATTGACCCAAGCAAAGAAGGGAAATGGAGAGAAAACTTAGGTTAATATTGACGGTGGGGAATAGGGGTAGGGAGATCTGCTGGTCCCTGAAACCAGGGAAACTGTGATCTGAATATCGTCCTGATGCTTCATTACTGACTCAGTCTATAGATTACTATATGTAACTCTAAGACCATTGATGGCCCATTTCTGCTTTGAAACAAGATAGAAGATTGAGTTAGTATTTGAATGGCTAGAAGGTTCCATTGAAGGAAACAGACATTTATTCCTGCCTCTGGTATTCACAGTTTAAACTATGTATAGAACCCTCTCCCTCAATTACACCCCAAATATAGGATCATAGAGTATTAGGGAACTTAGAATTCAGAAGGTTGGAACTTTAATGGAATTTAAACTATGGTTAAAATAGAATGTTAGAGCTTTGAGGATGTTAGAATATAGAATGTTAGAGCTGGAAGGGACCACAGATCATAGCATACTAGACTTGTAAAGGACCTTAGAGATTATCTAGTCCAATCCCCCCATTTTATAGATTTCAAAATTGAAGCTCAATAGAATAAAGTGACTTGCCCAAGGTAATGCAATATATTGATTGCAGGGACTAAACTCAGGTTTCCTTATTTCCAGACTAGTGTTTTGTTTTGTTTTAACCATACCATATTGCTGATATAAAATTAGCAAAGTAGTCATTCCCTCCACCCAAATATCACACATCCCAGCTAAGGGCTAAGAAGGCTAAAAAGATTATGTTTCTAGTGGCTAATGAAAGGGAGAGTGATGATCTCGTGACAAGCCATTTAATGACTATTCTGATTGTTTCTCCTTCATTTTTGAAGTGGACCAATGACATCATAGCTCGATGTCTTGACTTGTACATGAATTGGATTTAAGTGAGGCAGAGTTGTTCAAAGTCATCAGTCTCACTCCTCCTGAATCATCAAAGTTAGCAGCAGGACAAAAGTCAAGATGACAATTGTCTGGGATGACTTTAATGTCTAACCAAACTAAGTGTATCACAGCCCCTGCTTTAGCCACCTGCATGGCTATTGGAACAGGTTGTTCTCATCTACCCATTCCATCAGGGAAAGTCTTCACATGCTTGGGGTAGACATCCCCCTAATTCACCAATGGACTTGAGGCCCACTGGTTATGGTCAACATGGTTTAGCTCAACTGCCCAGATGGTTTTCCCAGGATAAGGCTCCTGTGCATGGATGAGAGTTGGGCAAAGGTGGACATCAAAGGTGAATGAGCAGTCCTGAAAAGGGCTTGGCAAGCCCTCACAGCAGAGGTGCTAGTCCTCCCTGATGACTACTATACACTCATGGTGATTCAGGTGGGCACAAACAACACAACTAGAAGGAATCAAGGAAGCATTATTGAAAACTGGGAAGTCTTGGGCAAGAAGCTTAATATGTTAATGGCACTGGTGATGCTTCCACCATTCCCATAGATCGAAGACCCAGACTTCAGAAGGGAAGGGTGGACTTGAGAAGTGGACATATGGTTGAGAAGGTGGTGTTTGAGATTAGGGTTTTGGTTTCTGGATAATAGTCTAAAATATAATTATGATAGGCTCCAGGAATGGAGTACACTACTGAGGGCTGGTAAAATGTATTTGTTTGGAACCTTGGAGATCTAATTAAAAAGATTTCAAATTGGAAAGGAAGTTGGGGAGATAACTGCCTATGTACATCCACCAAATTAGCTACCCTAGAGAACAGCTATAGTTTATTTATTTATGGCAACAGGATTAAGTGACTTGTCCAAGGTCATACAGCCAGTAAGTGTTATGTGTCTGAGGCTGGATTTGCACTCAGATCCTCCTGACTCCAGCGCCCATGCTCTATGCACTGTGCCACCTAGCTACCCTAGAGAACAGCTCTAACTTAAAAAGAATAACAGCAGGCAGGCATACCCACGGGAGACAACATCTGAGGAAGGATGCAGCCCCCAAAACCCCTGGCCTCAGATGTCTACATACAAATACACAAAGTAGAGATAATTAACAAAGATGGACTAGAGATTCTAGAGCAAAGGGACAGATCTGCCCTCATTGGTATCACTGAGACTTCATGAGATGAGATCTATGCCTGAAACATGGTACTAGATGATACATGTAATTCAAAAGGACCAAGAGAAAGGGAGGGAGGGGGTAGAGTAATGTTGTACATTATAAGAGAATGTGCTCATGTGAAGAAAACCAGGAACCGGAGAGGAGAAGCACAGTGAAGAGTGTCTGGTGGCAGCTAGGTGGTGCAGTGGATAGAGCACCAGCCCTGAAGTCAGGAGGACCTGAGTTCAAATCCAGTCTCAGATACTTACTAGCTGTGTGACCCTGGGCAAGTCACTTAACCTTGATTGCCTCCAAAGTGGGGGAGGGGAAGAGTATTTGGGTAAAGACAAACAGAAAAAAGGAGTGTTTGTCATCAACAAAATACATGACAGTCTTGCTTTTGTGTCTGTATCTCCAGCAGTTAACACAGTGTGTGGTATGGTAAGTGCCATTCATTCATTCATTCATTCATAGATGCCACCTGAATAGAAAGAGGAAATAAAGGGGGGTAATTTAGGAAACATCACAAGCTTGACACAGCAGCATCTTATAATAGTACTAGGAGACTTCAGTTTTCCACATATATTTCAGAGTTCTTTCTCTGCCAAAAGTAGGCCTGCTAATCACTTTTTAGCTTATGTTAATGATAATTTCATCCTTTAAAAGGCAGAAAAACCAAGGAAGGGAATTTCAATTCAGGATCTGACTCTGACCAGCAGGGACTGGAAAAGGCAGAACAAAAATGGCTAATAAGACATTGAAATTGAAGATAAATAGGGAGGGAAATGGTAAGAGATCTTCTAGCTGCACTTTATGAGTCCCAGTGTCCAGGCCAAGGGGAACCATATTACAGAGATTTGAAATAACTGATTATTATAAACAGGTCCTACAGAACTCACCTTATTTAAGGAGACAGTCTGTTGTAACAGATAGAGCACTGGACCTGGAATCAGTAAGACCTAGGTCTAAATCCTGACTTAAAGCAGGTTTGGATATTAGATATTCTAACAAGTCACAATTTCTCTGATCCTCAGTTTCCTCAACTGTAAAATAGGGATAATAATAACACCTCCCTCACAGATTGTTGTGAGGATCAAATGAGATCACATTTGTAAAGTGTTTTGCAATAAGCTCTGGTTAAATCGTTGTTTTAGTTATAATTGTTTACTATTTTGACAGGATTATTAGACTCTGATCAGGGAAGACTGTAATTATAGTTTATCTAGATTTTAGTAAGGCATTGAATAAAGTGTCTTGTGCTATTCTGAAAAGAAGAGATGTGGGCTTGATGCAGTTTAGTGGAAATGGAACTGGCTAAATGGCTGGACCCAAAGTCTTGTCAGAAAGGCTTAGATGTCACCTTGGAAGAAGGTCCCCGCACTTGATCTTGTGTTCCTTACCATTTTTATCAGTGACTTAAATAAATGAATAGATGGCTTGCTTACCAAATTTGCAAATCACACAATGCTAGGAGACATAGCTAACACTTTGGATGACAGAATGGAGATTCAAAAAATGCCTCACTAGGCTAAAACATTGGCTCAAATTATGTTTATATGTATGTATATGTACATGCACACATATGTGTGTAAAACAACATGAACTTTAATAAGAATGAATGGAAAGTCTTATACATATAAGTTCACAAAATCAAGCATAATCTTCTCAGCAATGCAAGGATCTAAGACAACTCCAAAAGACTCATGATGGAAAATGCTATCCACATCCAGAGAGAGAACTATGGAGTTGGAATGCAGATCGAAGCATACTATTTGCTCTCTTTTTTTGTTGTTGTTTTGTTTTGTTTCTTCTTTCTTATGGTTCTTCCCATTGGTTCTAATTCTTTTCAACAACATGACTAATATGAAACTATGTTTAATGAGAATGTATATGTAGAGCCTATATTAGATTGCATGCTGTCTTGGGGAGGGGGGAGAGGAGGGAGGGAAAGAAAATTTAAAACTCGAAATCTTGTGGAAGTGAATGTTGAAAACTAAAAATAAATAAATTAATTTAAAAAAAGAAAAAATCAAGCTTAAGATTCAGGGAGGCCTGGCTAAGCAGCAGTTTATCTGAAAAAGATCCTAGAGTTTTAGGAGACTCCAAGCTCAATCTGAGTCAATGAAATTGACACGATATGGCAGGTGAAAGAATTAATGCATTTACTATTAAGAGAAACATATTGTCCAGGAAGGGAGGGAAAGTGATGGTTCTATTCTACTCTGTCCTTGGCAGATCACATGTGAAGGATTGTGTTCAAAATGATAAATGATAAATTGGAAAGCATTCAGAGGAGGGTGACCAAGATGGTGGAGAGCTGTGGGATCCTACCAGATGAGCATCCATTGAAGGAACTGGGAGTGTTTTGTTTAAAGAAAGTCCAAGAGGGACACAATAGCTATGTTCAAGTATTTGAAGGACTAGACAGGAGTCATTAACATCTCAGACTCTTTGAACCTTATCATCTCAGAACCATAGCCTCTTAGAGCCTGACAATCACAGTGTCCTGGACATTAGAATTATAGAATATTCTAACATTAAAATCATAGACTCCTAGAACCATGGAATCTTGGAACACAAGCACATTAGAGCCTTAATATATTAGATTTGGAAGGGACTGAAGACATCTTTTTGTCCAGCTTTTCCCCAAAACCTGCAACCCTATTCCCTGCTTGACTGTATTGAGTGATAGGGCACTCACTAGCATGCCAAGGCAAGAATACTCCATTCCATCGTTGCACAGTTGGCATTGTCAGTAACTGTTTCCTCTATTGAGTTGAGGGAGGGAAACAAACTGCTGGGAATGAAAGGATAGAAGGATGGCCATTATGTGTCCAAACTATGCCAGCCAGACACTGACCCCCAAAGTTCTTTTTTTTAATAATTAATTTATATATTTTTAGTTTTCAATGTTCACTTCCACAAGATTTTGAGTTTTAAATTTTCTCCCCCTTTCTCTCCTCCCCACTCCCCAAGACAGAGTGCAATCTGATATAGGCTCTACTTATACATTCATGTTAAGAGTATTTTCACATTAGTCATGATGTAAAGAAAAATTAAGACTAATGGGAGGAACCATGAGAAAGAAGAAACAAAATAACAAAAGAAAAGGAGAGCAAATAGTGTGCTTCCATCTGCATTCAGACTCCATAGTTCTTTCTCTGGATGTGGATAGCATTTTTCATCATGAGTCTTTTGGAGTTGTCTTAGATCCTTGCATTGCTAAGAAGAGCTAAGTCTATCAAAGCCAGTCATCGCTCAATGCGACTGTTTACAATGTTCTCCTGGTTCTGCTCATTTCGCTCAGCATCAGTTCATATAAGTCTTACCAGGTTTTTCTGAAGTCCACCTGCTCATCATTTCTTATAGCACAATAGTATTCCATTATATTCATAAACCACAACTTGTTCAGTCATTCCCCAATTGATGAGCATCCGCTCAATTTTCCATTCTTGGCCACCACAAAAAGAGTTGCTATAAATATTTTTGTACATGTGGGTCCTTTTCCCATTTGTATGATCTCTCTGGGATGCCGCCCTAGAAGTGCTATTTCTGGGTCAAAGGGTATGCATATTTTTATAGGCTTTTGGGCATAGTTCCAAATTGCTCTTCAGAATGGTTGGATCAGTTCACAACTCCACCAACAATGCATTAGTATTCCAATTTTCCCACATCTTCTCCAACATTTATCATTTTCCTGTTTTGTCATGTTAGCCAATCTGATAGGTGTGATATGGTACCTCAGAGTTGTTTTGATTAGCATTTCTCTAATCAAGTGATTCAGAGCATTTTTTCATATGACTTTAGATAACCTTAATTTCTTCCTCTGAAAACTGCCTATTCATGTCCTTTGACCATTTATCTATTGGGGAATGATTTGTATTCTCATAAATTCAACTCAGTTCTCTACATATTTTAGAAATGAGGCCTTTATCAGAGACACTGGCTGTAAAAAAAAAAAAGGAAGCTTTCTGCTTCCCTTCTAATCTTGGTTGCATTGGTTTTGTTTGTGCAAAAACTTTTCAATTTAATGTAATCAAAGTCATCCATTTTTCATTTCGCAATGTTCTTTATCTCTTGTTTTGACCCCAGAGTTCTAATAGCCCTTTTTTCCCTACCCAGGATGCCTTGATACTCATTCTCAAGAGTCTCATGCCAACATGTCTGTTCAACATCATTGGATTTGGTTCCACCTTTAAGACCTTATTCCCTTCCAGTCAGGTCTACAGTGAGGTAAGAGAAATATGGCTGACCCCCACCAGACTGAGTAGTAAGAAAGAGAGGGGAAGACCTGAATTTTAAGGACTTTGTAAGCTCCTTGAGAGCGAGGACAGTTTTTCATGCCTTTTTTTTTATATCTCCAGTGCTTAGCACAGTATCTGACATATAGTAGGCACTTAATAAATGCTTCTTGATTTGACTTGATCTGAGCTATTTTAGCTAAGTAACACAATGAATAGACATGGAGTCAGAAAGAACTGAGTCCAAATCCTGCCTTACACACCAGCCACATGACCCTGGGCAAGTATATTAAGTTTTCTGAAATTTAGTTTCCTCATCTGAAAAATGAGGTGACTGGACCTAATGGTCTTTAAAGTTGCTTCCAGCTCTAAATCTGTGATCGCTAGCCTTATGAAGTGGCATTCCAACTAGAAACCAAGCCAAGTGCAGGGGCTGAGTTTTTGAGGAAACTGTTGAAAGTTGTATAGTCCTCAAATTCATGGCCCTACTGGCTCTGACCATTTTAAATGAGGCCGTTCCCATGCTTACATACATGTAGATCCATCAAAAGTTCTAGGCCCAGTGAGGCAACTGGGATGTCATGGGCCAAAAATGGGGCCTGGACCTCAGTTTCAGTCCCAGCTCTGCCATTAATTCACTGTGAGACCTTAGGAAAGTCACTGAACTCTGTGCCTGAGCTTCCTCACCTGTATGACAAAAGCATTAATACTTGCCTGAAAAACTCATGGGGGCTATTTGATAAGGATATAATGAGATAAGACAATATGTATAAAATGCTTTGTCAGCTACAAAGCAATACATAAATGTGAGTCATGTGGGGCCTGACAAGTGATAACTGGGGTGGGGGGGGACAATCAGTGTAGCTGCATCAAGGCACAGCATGGAAGGGTCATGGGGCCAACAGACCATGGGATGCTGATCTGTAAGGAACATAGAATGTTTGAAACAGAAATGGTCTTGAAATAGAATTTTAGAGCTGGCAAGGACCTTAGAAATCACCTACTCCAACTGCCTCATTTTACAGATGAGGAAAATGCAACTGAGAGAGTTAAAGTGACTTGCTCAATGTCACACAGCTTGGAAGAACCACAAGTATTAAGAATAGTGTGGAAAGGAAGGCAGATAGCGGATCTTTGGAGAACAGGGAATGCTGGCCTCCACACCCAGAAACATTCCTCATGGGGTCTTAAAGCTCCCAGATAAGTCCAAGAGATTTTGATGATAGCTGTTGGGACAGCCTTCTCTATCTGTCTCTTATTCTGTATGCAGCTCAGGGACCTGATCTTCTTGACCCTGGTCTGGATCAGATCCTGACTTTTAAGCTCTTCCAGACCATAAGTGGAGGAGAAGCCTTGGAAGAAAGAGGAAACTTAGCTGATGTTCCCCATCCCCCAAGTTTTCTGAGTCAGCTTGTCAACCTGGCCACTGGGGGCACATGATAGCTTGTGAGCATGAAGCAGTAGAGTTCCTGATTGAAAGAGGTGGGATTTTCTAGGCTTCTCTTAGGAGAAGAATTGGTTAGTAAATGAAGGTGCTTTATTCCTGGCAAGAATCTACTTTGTCTTTGTCCTTGCTTCACAGTTGAGGTCTGACCACTCCCCACAAGAAAGGAACACTGGTCTGAGAATCAGGGAACATGGGTTTGATTCCTGATTCTGTCTCTACCAAGGCCATTCACCTCTCGTGGCTTCAGTTTCATCTACAGAATGAAGTTGTTGGGCTATGCCCTTCCTAAGGTGCCTTTCATGTGGGACAATCTGTGTTCTAACATTCTTTGTACCATTTTAACATTCTAACATAAGAGAGGTGGCATGGTATGGTGAAAAGGACATGGTACTTCGGGTCAAAGAATCTGGTTTCAAATCCCATCTCTCCCACAAATTATCTGAGTGACCTTGGACAAAGCACTTAATTTCTCTGGGCCTCAGTTTCTTCATCTGTAAATTGTGAGGGAGGCTAGATGATCTCTGAGCTCCTTTCATGCTGTAAATCTATGATCCAATGATTCAATGAATCTGCTTATGGAAAAGGTAGACTTTGGTCCCAAAGACCAGAAAAGTATTGGAAGCCAGGGAGAATCTGTATGTCAGTCCCTAAGAATCTTAGGAAATGATCAACTTCTGGGTGACTCCTAAGGTCTTTCTGCCTTTACCTCTGTGTCTGTCTCTGTCTTTGTCTCTCTCTCTCTCTGTCTCCCTCTATAGAGACTCTCTCTCTTCTTCCTGCCTTTCAGGAGAGTTTGACTACTGCATGTGAAAACATCCAGCATCTTCAAGCTGACATGGGTGGCACCAACATCCTGTCCCCACTCAGATGGGTCACCCGGCAGCCCACACATGGAGGCCACCCACGCCTACTCTTTCTTCTCACTGATGGCTCAGTCAACAACACAGGGAAGGTGCTGGAGTTGGTACGAAGCCATGCTTTCACCACCAGGTTAGTTGGGAGGAGGGGATGGGGGAGTGGGATACAGGCTTGGTTAGAAAGACAAGCTCTGGGAAGCCCGGGCAAAGAAATTCTGAAAATGCACAGGGAGGGTCTAGATTTTGAAGGTGTTCTGCTCATTCAATAAATTCAATGTATATTAAATTGTGGAATGTAAGCCCCTTGGAATCAGGAGCTGTTTTGCTCTTTCATTTGTACATAGGAGGTGCTAGATGAATGAATGAATGAATGAATGAATGAATGAATGATTTTATTAACTTAGAAGTATTGACTAAGGGCTTACTATATACCAAGCATTGTACTAAGAACTGAGGATACAAATACAAAATTGAAAGGCAGCCCTTGCCCTCAAGGAGCTTACATTCTAATCTGAGAGATAATACATCAAGGAATGATGAGCAGGTAGATATTTTGGTTTGGAAAATTAGAGAGATGTGTCTCTGGTGCCGAGAAATTTTGTTTTAATCTTACACATGATTTAGTGCTAAAGTAAAAATTCTTGTAGTCAAGGCCTGCCTAAGGTTCCCTTCCAGGGAGGTTTTTGCTTGATTCTCCCTAAGTGATAGGGAGAAAAGGAAGGAAGTGGGAATTACAGCTTCACTCCTCCCCTCCTATCTCCAACAGGTGCTATAGCTTTGGGATTGGTCCAAAAGCCTGTCCAAGGCTGGTGCAGGGGCTGGCAGCTGTATCTAAAGGCAGTGCAGAGTTCCTGGTACAAGGAGAAAGGCTCCAGCCCAAGGTGAGTTGGAGGGCCACCATGACCCTGAGTTCCCTTACCTCCCTCATCTCCCTTATCCTCTACACTCTATCCTTTCCACTCTCTCCTTCTCTCCTCTCAGGCCATTCTGTCAGACCAATTGTCTATTGCCACCAGGCATCCTACCTTCTTGGAGGAAGGGGGTGTCAACTCCTTCAGAGGAGCTCAGAGGATGGGGCAGATGTCTCTCCTCTCTGAAGGGAATCGCCTTTGGTGATTCTCATTCCCACTTTTCAAATGAAGATACTGAGGGTCAGTGTGCATGTGAGACTGGCTCAATCATCTGAGTGACAATAACAACCCCAATTTTCACTCTTCCAAATACTATTGCATTTAGCCTCTAATCAAATGCTTAGCTCCCTCCAAAACTCTCCAAAAGGTCAGTAGAACAAGGATTATTCTCCCTGTTTTGGTATGAAGTTGCTGAGAATGTTCTAACATCTATGTTCTAAGGTTCCTCTCAGTGGATCCCTGAAACTAGGCTATATATTTAATAATGAAAGTCTTAAGTGGAGAATCTCTTCAGCAGGTCCTTACAAATGCAGAGGAGCCAGACTTATCCCTAATGAGCTCCCACATGGAGTATCCCCCCTGCCCTCACTTTCTCAGCTCACACTGGCAGGTTGGATCTGCAAAAGGGAGATGACCACTGCTCCCCTCCAGGCTCTAAGGAGAACCTTGAGTTGTGACTCTTAAATGCTGTCGTTCATAAGCTTTATCACATGTGCTCCACCAGTATTAGTCAGTCAGTTGACATTGACTAACCTTTACGAAAGACAGCTTACTGAGAATGAATAAGAGAATGAAACATGTTATGAAACATTCCCCCAAACTGAGGGTGTACTTTCTCCTGTGCACAATCTCAATCCCTAGGGAGAATGGGCTCAAACATAAGGCACAAATGTAGACCACATGTTGGGTCAAAGGGCACTTAGCAACATCTAAGCCTAGGAGTCCTTTTCGATCATTGAAGAGTACTCACCAAGTTCACTGCAGGCAGTGATTCCCAGTGGATGACTTGTTTCTTTGGTCAATTGGGCTGGAACTTTATAGAACACAGATACTCTGAAAGTCCCTACTGCTGACTCTGGATGGGCCTTACCACACCAAGTCAAAATATGGTCCATTCTATCTTCTTATTCACTTATCTAAGATGAAGAAAGAATAAACACAAGAGAAACAAAAAGAACAGAGGCGCCATGCATTCATAGACACATGGTAGCCAGGTGGGAGAATCCAACTCACTGCTGTCCTATCCCCACTGCAATAGTCTTCCTTCCAAGAAAAAGAGAGCTAGGCGCTAAGATTGCCCCTTATTATCTCCAGGTAGTTCTGCCTCAGTAGCTACATAAAAGACTTCATCACAATGTAATAGGAACCTCTGAGTCATCCTGACCAAAAAGAAGTCATTTGAGAATGCCCATGCCTGGTCTGAGCCTCTCTAACACCCAAGACTGGAGCAGGCCTGCCCCAAGCTTCCATGCACTTGCCTGGAATTCCAACTGAGAATGCCCCAGGGTGGGGATGTCAAGGGGATCAGTACATATGTGATTAGTTGATGAATAAGCACCATCCTGAATAAATTTCCATGGTAACAGACAAGTAGGTAAAAGCTTTCCAGATTTTGGTGACATCCTCAGAGCTAAAGTCTGTGTGATGTCATGGAAAGAACCCAAGAGACTGGTAGTCCCGATATGTCAGTTCTGGTTCTAACACTGCCACTAACTAGCTGATTTTAAACAAATCATTTCACTTTTCTTGGCCTCAGTATCTTCCTCATTAAAATGAAGGCTTTGTGTTAGATGATTTCTAATATCTCTCCAGGTTCTAATATTCTATATTCCAAGGCCTATTTTAGCTCTAATGTTCTAAGGTCTCCCCCACCTGTGACGTTCTATCTTCTAAGGTCTACTACTGCTCTGATGCTCTATGTTGTAGGATCCTTCCCACTTCTGACACTCTGTGTCCTACAATCTCCCCCAGTACTGACATTCTGTGCCTTAGGGCCCATTGCTGCTCTGACAGTCAATGTTCTAAGGTCCTTTCCTATTCTAAGAGACTCTGTTCTCACTTTGAGAAGTAAAGAAAAAGATATATCCACACATAAAGATCCTTGCTGCCACTTCCATCATCACACCCCCATATTTTTGTATATTCTGTTCCCAAAATGATGCTTTCTTTTTTCCTGCACATATCTCCTGCCAGTTTCTATGCCCATGCATGCCCTTGAATATGGCTTCTGCTCCCTACCTCCTACAGATGATCAAGTCTCTGAAGAAGGCCATGGCCCCTGTTCTCAGTGATGTCAGCGTGGAGTGGAATTTTCCAAAGAACACAGAAGTCTTAATCTCACCTATCAGCTCCAGCTCCCTCTTCCCTGGAGATCGGCTGGTGGGCTATGGCATCATGTGTAGCTCTACTTACCACCAGAGCTCCAGAGTTGTAAGTAGCCAGAGGGACAGATGGGAACATGTCATGGCTTGACAACTCCTCTTTGACCTGGATGTACTGCTCCTTCTGCCCTAGTCCTCAGTACAACTGTTTACATTCAACACAGAATTGAGGGTGGAGAAGTCAGACCAATTTCAAATCCTTAGGAGAGCTATGGATGCCAGTGGAAGATGTAAAGAGAAAAAGGACTAGGAATGGAGTGAATGGGGTTTGAATCTTTGCTCTATGCTGCAATCTTGGGTAATTCACTTATTCTCTCTGGGTCTGGATGTCTTGATCTTTTAAAAGATAGAGCTGGACTAGATGATCACTAAGATTCTTCTAGCTCTGACATTCTATGCTCTAAGGCTTGGAAACCCCCCACCATTCCTGACTCCCTGCATTTTCCCAAATCAGTATTTGTCTTCAAATTTTAATTATAGAATTTTAGAGTTAGGACCTCAGAGTCCCTTTAGTGAAACCCAGCCATGAACAAGAATTCCTCCTACATCCTACCCAATGAGTATGTAGCCTTTGCTTAAAAACCTTTAGTGATGGGAAACCCATTACCTCCTTACCTTCTAAGACCTTCTATTCCACTTTTGAATGGCTAGGATAGTTGGAAATTTTTTCTTACGCCAAGTCTGAATATGCTATTTTGCAACTTCTAGCATTTGCTTCCAGCTCTGGGGCCAAATAGAGCAATATTAATCCCTCTCGCATATGACCGTCCTTCAAATACTTGGTAGCTCCATGTCTCCTCTAAGTCTTCTCTGCTCCAGGATGAACATCCCCAGCTCTTTCACATAGTTATATGATATGATTTTAATTGAGGCTTCGCATCCTCTTAACTGACCTCCTCTGGATACTCTCCAAGTACGTCTTGTCTTGACTCTGGTGCCCAAAATTGAACACAGTATACCACATGCAATCTTACCAAATCAGACAAGAGTGAGAGGATCATCTCCTTTGAACCCTGTTCTATTAAAATCCAGACTTCATGGTAGCCTATGTCCAGCTTTGTTCTCTTCTTTCTCAAATAGTAAACTTTGTTTCAAGGTTCCCATTGCATTGATTCCAGGAACCAGTTCATCCTTTTTGGTAGAGATCAACCTTGGATTAGAAGTTCTCACCCTTGGTTCCTTCACCTTTGGAAGGATGAAGTTATCATTCAGTCAAGAAAACATTAACTATTCTACTTAAGCCACACAGAAAACTCCAGCAGCTAGGTGTCCAGGTTATTGATGTTCCTCATCACCAATGTATCATACTACTTTGGCAGGCTTGTTATCTGTTTCCCAAACTCCTCACCTATTTCTTTTTCCCATCTCAATGATCTTGTTGTATACCCCAATAACAGTGTTTTTGTTTATCCAGTTGATCATTACCTGATTGTTTTCCACCATGTTCCCCACCTCTAGTTCCTGTATTTCCTCAAGGGAAAATTTCTTCTGCATATTCAATGTCTTTCCCCTTTTATCTACTCTGTTCCTTTTGAATAAGGTATGCCCTTCTATCTATAATTCATTCAGAGTTCACATCCCAACAAGATGTCTTAGTGATGCCAACGAAGTCTACTTTTCCTCAATGCATTAGCATCTCTCATTTCTTTTGCTTGTTACACACATTTCATGCACTTTTGTGAAGTCATCTGAGACCATGGACTATACTGTCAGTTTATTCCTTGGATTTTGTCCTTTGTGAATTTGTGAATACCTCTACTACTATTCTTCTTTCTTCCTACTCTGTAGAGCCTATTTTGGTGCAAGGAGTTTTCTTCCTCTCCATCATGTTCAATTAAAATCTCTTTTGGTTATAATTGCAAAACTGTAGACAAATATATTTTTACCAACTTTTTTTAGATACACTCCATCCTTGGTCAAGAGCCTGTCATTCCTATATTTTATGCTGTGGTTCAGAAATCCAAATGCCTTTCCCAATCACCATTTTTGTGACCAATTATTCACTTCCCAAATCTGCTTTTCTCTTTTAAAGCTCATGCCTTAAATAGTCAGCAATGAAGAAACTACAATTTATATCCCTAAAGTGTCCAGCTACATGCCCAAGACTTAATAATCCTCAGAAATTCTTTCTAGATTTCTTCTATCATTATCATTTTCCCCACATGAATCACTAGAATTTGTTGTTATTTATTTTGTTTAACTAGTCTTGGGAGGTTCTCTGTCATACCTTAGACGCGTGGCCCAAGAAGATGGCAGACCTCTCTACCTCAGAACCTCTCATGAGAGGATTATCAGCCCCCACTTATTGTCCCTTCCTCTTCTGCCCTTTCCTGGGTCTCTCATCTGATAGTGCTTGTAGATCCATGGCATCATTGCTCAGAGAAGAGACAGTTTGTTTCTGTTTGTTAATCCCAGATGTTCCAGCATCCCTCTTGAGTCTCTCTTCTGCATCATGTTCTCCTGCCCTCCAAACTCCTGGCATACATCAGAATTTCCTTTTTTCCTTTCCAGCAACTTTTTTTTTGCTTTTGAATTGAAGCCCTTCCAGTTTTGTTTTATCTTATTTTGTTTGCTTGTTTGTTTGTTTGTTTGTTCGGTTGGTTTTTAAGGAACATTCCTTCTCTTCCAGGAGGGAGCCTAGCCTGCCCTTTGATCATGGATAGAGGTCACTTAGCCATAACAGAAACACAAGCATTACCCAGTCTTACAGTACATCACCACAAGAGAGGCTGTCACAGGGAGGAAGAGGAGCTGGAGTCATTGTGGAGTAGTGGGAAGATCACTGGTCTAGGGATCATATGGACCCAGGTTCAAATCCATGCTCTGCCCCATACTAGCTTTGCAACTACGGGGCAACTAAGTGGTACAGCAGATAGAGGAAAGGCCTACACTCAGAAAGACCTGAGTTCAAATCCAACCTCAGACACTTATTAGCTGTGTGACACTGGGTAAGTCACTTAACCTCTGTTTGCCTCAGTTTTCTCATCTGTAAAATGGGGACAATAATAGCACTTACCTCCCAGGGTCGTTGTGAGGATCAAACAATTAAAATCAAATAAATCATCCAATATTTATTAAGTGCCTAATGTGCGCCAGGCATAGTAGTATGGCCTGAGGACACAAATATAAGGGATGAGACAATGTGTACTATCAATGAGTAATAGGGATTATAACAAATATATGCATAAATATAAAGTTTATATATATATATATATATGTGTGTGTACACACACTTATATACACACAAAGTCGTTCAATTTAAGGTTCTTTGGGAGTAAGGGCTACACATCGGAGATCAGGAAAGTCTTCACACAGAAGGTGGTGCCTGAGCTGCGTTTGGAAGGCGGAGACTCTATGAGGTGAAGTAGGAGGGCATCCCAGGCATGGGGAATGGCCAGTGCAAAGACGTGGAACCTGGAGATGGAATGTCATGAGTCAGGAACAATGAGAAGGCCAGTTTGGCTGAGTCACTGAGAACAGACAAGGAAATAAAGACCAATGAGGATGAAAAATTTGGGGATCAGATTTTTTAGGATTTTAAAAGCTAAACTGAGGATTTGATATTTTTATTCTAGAGGCAATAGAAAGTCCCTGGGGTGGGTTAAGTAGAGAAGGCATATGGTCAGGTTTGCACTTAAGGAAAATTCCTTTGGCAGAGGAGATGTATGCACAGACTAGAATAGAAAGGGAATCTAGGGGGCAGCTAGATGGCGCAGTGAATAGAGCTCTGGCCTTGGAGTCAGGAGGACCTGAATTCAAATCCAGCCTCAGACACTTAACACTTACTAGCTGTGTGACCTTGGGCAAGTCACTTAACCCCAATTGCCTCACTTTAAAAAAAAAGGCAAAAAAAAGAAAGGGAATTTAGGGGCCAGCTAGGTGGCGCAGTGGATAGAGCACCGGCCCTAAAGTCAGGAGGACCTGAGTTCAAATCCGGCCTCAGACCAAACATTTGACACTTACTGGTTGTGTAACCCTGGACTAGTCACTTAACCCCAATTGCCTAAAAAAAAATGAAAGGGAATCTAGTCAAGAGATAATGAGGACCTTACCTGAGGTGGTAGTGGGGGAATGGGGAAGGTGACTATGTAAACCTTTATATCTGTAAGCATTATGTATATATAGTATGCATGTTCAGTGGATGTGGAGTTCAAAGAGGACTAACACCTCTTCTGTGATGGATGCTGAGCCCTTTTCAGGCCTGTTCACCCATCTTTGGTGGCCACCCACCAGCCAACTCTTCCTTGTAGCTCCAAGAAGCTTTAGCATGCGCAGTGGCCACAACCCAGTAATGCCTCTCTGCTAACAGGCTAAATCAAGTGGAGGGTAACCAACAGGCCTCAGACTTTTGGGTAAGTTAGCAGGGTGTCTACCCTAAGCACGTGAAGATTTCCCCCAGTGGAATGATGAGAACGACATAAAGGCAGCTGAAGCAGGCTCTGCGGAGCACATAGAGCTTGGTCAGACATTGAAGGTGCCAAGGTCATCCACAGCAGCCCAGGCCACGGCCAGCTGTCTTGTCTTCTGTCCTACCCCTGGATTTCTATGACTCTGGAAGAGAGAGTGAGGCCGATGACTTTGTGCAACTCTGTCTCACTTAAATCCGATTCATGTACCAGTCCGAGACATCATCCCTTGTTGTCATTAGTGCTCTTTAAAAACTAAGGACAAACAACAACAATACTTTAAAGAGTTTGTACAGATATCAGTTATTACTAGGCTTCTTTCCCTGCCCCCGGAAGAAGGATTATGGACAGAGGGTGGAAGTTGTAGAATCAAATTTAGGCTGGTTGTAAAGAAATACTTTCTCACTATTTACTGTGCCAAAGCAGAATGAGCTACCTTGGGAGATCGTGAGTTCTTCATCATTGGAACTCTCCAAAGCAGAAGTGGGAAGATCATTTGTTGGGGATCTGAAATTTAGTACTGGAAGGTGCTTCAGAGACAGGCTTCAGCCTGTCCAACCGTGCCCTCGGTCTTGTAGATTAGGAAACTTGGGTCCCAAGAAGTTGTGACTAGCCTACATTCACACAGGGAGCAGAGCCGCAGGATTCAATCTCTGGTCACCTAACTACAAATCCTGTGTTCTTGACGTTACAACACTTTGCCTTGCTAGATGTGATTGAGGGGATTCCTGCTCAAATACACAATGACATAAGTAGGAAAGTCAATCAGAGGTTCAGACTAGCTAAGGAGGAGCCATGGTAGAGCAGGAAAAGAGCCCTGGATTCAAAGTCAGAAGACCTGGGCTCTAATTCCACCTCTATCTACCTGCGCGACCTTACTATATGAGTCACTTCAACTCTCTGGGTCTCAACGTCCTCCCATGTAAAATGATGGAGTTAGAGTGGACAGCTTCTGAGGTCCCTTCTGGTTCTAAGTACATGCTTCAATGAATCAGAAGGAAAAAAAATTGAACTCAACAACTCAATGTGATAGACCTGAGAGCATTAAGTGTTGGAGGGAAGTACTCCATTTGACAAGAACTGTTGGGAAAACTGGAATGCAGTCTGGCAGAAATTTAGCTTAGTCCTACATCTTACACCATGTACCACAATAAAACCAAAATGGACATGTGACCTAAATATTAATGATCACATCATAAGAAAGAAATTAAAAGGAAGCCAGATAAAGTACTTCTCAAGCTATGGCTAGGGGGAAATTCTGTAGCTAAACAAGGTATAGCAGCGATCCCAAAAGATAAAAGATAATTTTAATAGTATTTTATTGCTCCAATTATGTGTCAAGATAGTTTTAAAATTCATTTTTATAAGATTTTGAATTTCATATTTTTCTCCCTCCCTCCCTTCCATCCTCCCTCCCCAAGACAGCAAGCAATCTGATATAGGTTATACATGTACGATCATGTTGGACGTATTTCCATATTAGTCATTTTGTAAAAGAAGAAACCGAACAAAAGGGAAAAAAACAAAAAAAAAGTGAAAATAGTTCCTACATACATACAAACATACATCAGTTCTTTCTCTGGGTGTGGATAGCATTTTCCATCATGAGCCTTTTGGAATTGTGTAGGATCATAATGTTGCTGAGAACAGCTAAGTCAATCACAGTTGATCATCATACAATGTTACTGTTACTATGTACAGTGTTCTCCTGGTTCTACTCACTTCACTCAGCATCAGTTCATGTAAATATTTCCAGGTTTTTCTGAAATCTGCCTGCTCATCCTTTCTTATCGCACAATTGTATTCCATTACATTCATATACCACAACTTGTTCAGCCATTCCCCAGTTGATGGGCATCCCCTCAATTTTCAATTCTTTGCCATCATATATTTTTGTACATGTGGGTCCTTTCCCCCTTTTTTATGATCTCTTTGAGATACAGATCCAGTAGTGGTATTGCTGGATCAAAGGGTATGCACAGTTTGATTGCCCTTTGGGCATAGTTCCAAATTGTTGTCCAGGATGGCTGGATCTGTTCACAACTCCATCAACAATTCATTAGTGTCCCAATTTTCCCACATCTTCTCCAACATTTATCATTTCCCTTTTCTGTCATATTAGCCAATCTGGTAAGTGTGAGGTGGTACCTCAGAGTTGTTTTAATTTGCATTTCTCTAATCAATAGTGATTTATAGCATTTTTCATATGACTATAGATAGTTTTAATTTCTTCATCAGAAAACTGCCTGTTCATATCCTTTGTTCATCCATTGGGGAATTGATAGTGTGATTACATGGAATTATAAAGGTTTTGCATGATACAGAAGATAAGGAAGGAATGCAGACAAGTATGGGTTGGACTAGATAACGTCTGTAGTTCCTTTCAGCTCCAAGATTCTAGGAGTCCAATTTGAAAGTCAAGACTGAAGGCCTGCCCAAGGAGACTATCCACTCCAGTCCATCCTGTATGAACAGTTATGTACAATATTCCGTGCTTGTCACAGCATTAGGGAACCATAAACACATTTCTGGGCGAGGTCTAAAAAGAAAAGTCATAACCAACAACTGGGATTAAGGAAAGCTTCATGGAGGACATGGAATTTAAGTTGGGTTTTACAGGGGTGAATTCAGTAGGAGGGAAGAAAAAAGGCATAAGAAATGGAAGAAGCAAAAGCACGTAGAAGAGAAAGTACCAGGTGTCCTGGGGCGGGGCGGGGCAGATTGTTGCTCCCATTTAATTGGGGTGTTGAATGAGTTAAGAGGTGATAGCGTGATGCAGTAACAAAGTTGACACCAGACTCGCTCTGCAGATACTTTGCTGGGTCTGAGCTCCTTGGCCAAGATGAAGCCCCACAGCATGACCCACTAGGGCTTAAAGGGGAGGAGGAAGCTAATCCAGTCCCTGTGTCTTGCCTTTAGGTAGGATTTTAGCTAAAGTACTGTTGCCTGATGAGTGCCTCTGATGACTTGAAATTCCTCCTTGATTCTCTCCTAATTCCCGGACCTTTGTTTTCTCTCCTACTGTTCCCTACGGCCAGAGTCATCATCACGGTGCACCACGCTCCCAGAGCTCTGTGTTCTACTATTCCCAGGACAAGGGATCTGCTCCAGAGAGTGGGGACTGCACCGAAGAGGCCCTGGCATTCAGTGCATCCCAGAAGGGCCAGTATACACCAGCATTCATCAGAGATGCCAACCTGGTCCGAGGTCAGTCCTATAAACACATCCTCTTCCTAAGCAGCTTGACCCTCAGCAAGAGGGATGGGATGGGCAGGATTGACCCAAGTGTATCTTTAGTTTGGGGAGGAGGGTAAGAGATCTTAGAACCTGGGAGTATCTTTGGGAAAACATCAGGAGGCAGTCAGTAGAAAAACCCCTTCCAGCTGTGCCACTAACTTGTAGTATAAACTTGGGTGGCATGTTTTCCTTCTTTGGATCCCGTTGTTCTAATCTATACATTGACAGATCTGGACTAGATAATCTTTCAGGTGCTTTTGAGTTCTAATATTCTATGTCTTCCAGCTCCAATATGACGTTCTATGTCAGGGGTGGGGAACCTGCAACCTCAAGGCCATGTGTTGCCTTTTGACTGAGTCCAAGTTTTACTGAACAAATCCTTTATTAGGGGGATTTGTTTTGTGAAGTTTGGATTCAGTCAAAGGACCGCACTTGAAGACCTAGAGGGTCACATGTGGCCTTGAGGTCACAGGTTCCTCACCCTTGCCTAAGGTCCTTGCTATCTCTTAGTGTTCTTTGTACTAATATTTTATGTTCTAAAGGACTTTCCAGTTCTAACATTCTATGTTCTAAGGACTCCTTCCAGCGTTACCATTACACATTCTAAGTTCCCTTCCAGATATTCTAAGGTTTAAGGTCCTTTCCATCCATAATATTCTATGTCCTGAGATCCCTTCTAGCATTAACATTCCATGTTCTAAGTTCCCTTCCATGTCTGACATTCTAAGGTCCCTTCCATCTCTAACATTCTATGTTCTAAGAGCTCTTCCAGCTCTGTTATTCTAAGGTATGATGCCCTCTCCAGCTCTAATATTTTATATTCTAAGGGCCCTGCTGTCTCTGGCATTCTGTATTTTGAACTCCAGCAACTTACAGAGTGTCTGACATATAGTAAGTCCTTAATCAATGCTAGCTTACTGAATGAAGTCTCTCCCAGCCACAGCCTTGCCCACTTCATTCCAGACCTGGAGAGGGTATACTTATAATAATCACTGTCCTGTTGGATGACCTGTTCTGTTGGGGCTGCTCCAAGCACTAAAGGCACTCAACCCATTCATTTTGTAACCAGAGATGACTACCTCAACTTTGGGACGTTATTGTAATTTATTACCTTTCATTTGATTGGCACATTCAACTTGGTCGAAGGGCTTTCACAGCCATTATCTCTTTGAGTCCTCGCCATGAGATAGTCAAGGCTAGGATTATTATTCCCATATGACAGATAAGCAAACTGAGGTGCAGAGAGTTAGTGAAATGATTTGATAAGGTCACACAGCAAGTTAGTTTGCAAACAATCAGGACTAAAATCCAGATCTTGGAAGTCACCATATTCCCTCAGTAGCCCTACCATGATATCTTTCAATTGCTATCAGCAAAAACAGCTCAGGGAAGCAGCTCTGTGAGATGAGAAATGAAAGTTAGCGGACCTCAGGGCCTAATACCTCTCAATAATCATGGTCCACATTTCTGTAGTGCTTTGAGATTTATAAAACACTTTCTTCATTGTCCCTTGGGATATATGTAGGCATTTTTTATGGATAGGGGAAACTGAAGTTCAGACTTGCCTAGGGTAAAACCAGGAGAAATTCTTTGAGCCAGGATTCAAATCCAGGTCTTCTGACTCCATAGCCATTACTCTTGCCAACATGGCAGCCACTATCTTCTCTGAGGCTCCGTTTTCTCATGTGTAAAATGGGGGGGGATGGTAGGGGCATGGACCTAGATGATCTCTGATCATCTCCAAATCCTCTGGTTCTAATATGTTTGCAGACTCTAACTTTACATCCTATAGCTTGGCTCCAGGACAGACTCATCTCTCCGATTTCACCTTCCCTATTCCCTGGGTCTCTAACACCATCCCACCTCCTCTCCATGAGTAGATCACTCCATGCGCCGTCGAGCGTACAGCACCAACCAGATTCCTGAACTCAAATCATGCCGCAGAACCCCAACCAGCAGTGACTCCGCCATCATAGCAGGGAAGTACCTCCTTCGGAAAACTCAAGGGCAGGATCTGCTAGACCATCTCGATACAGAGCCCTGCCTGTGGCAGGCTGAGTCCCAGGTATTGGGGAAACAACTTCCAAAAAAAATTACTAATTAAGAAGGCAACATCACAAGAGATTAGAACCAGAAGAGCTGAGTTCAAATTCCATATCTGACAATCACTATGACTATGAACAGGCAAGTCACTCAACCTGGTACTCAATGTCCTCATCTGTAAAATAGAGGGGATTGGTCGAGATGACTTCTAAGGTCTCTTCTTAATCTAAATCTATCATATCTGATGATCCTGTGACCTCTTAGGCCCCATCCACTTCTGAGAGGACCAAACAAAGTACCATGAGCTATTCAGTGACAGAGAAAGATGACTTCCAGTGGCAGGGGAGAAGGGGGCAGAGTATTGAGGAAGGCTTTATGGAGGAAGTGGTACCTGAGCTGGGACCTGGAGAAAGAAAGATTAAGAGATAGAAAGGGCCAGCAGGGAATCCATTTCAGAGGACATGATGAGTAAAGACCCAGAGGGGAGAAACAGCTAATGGCAGCATCCCAATCTGACTGAAACAACAAGCTTGTGAAAGGAGAGCAGTGTGGGAGGAAAGCCCAAGAGGTTTCCTGTCATCTCCCAGCCCTGAGTACAAAGCTATTAAAGACAGCAAGCATTGAGGACATCCTGGGGAGAAACTCTCTGTGTGTCTCAGGTACTCTCCTCCACTCTCGAGCTCTCCCTTTCCTATCCCTCATTTCTCCTCCTTTCCCCATCTCTCCTTTCTCACACCCCTCCCCAAACACTCTATTCATCCTTCCCTTACTCCCAGCCATCATCAGGCAATCACTGGCAGAGAACTGTACTAAATTCTGGGATGGTGTCTCCTTGGTCAACTTCAGCATGAAGGCATACTTGGCACACTTTTGTGTCAGGTCAGTCACAAAGCTGAGAGGTATAGCTAACCTTCTGAAGAACTGGACTGAGTGAAGAGACAAGGTGATATTGACAGGCTAGAACATTGGACCAAATTGAATAACTTGACATTTCAGAGGAATTAAATGTATTACAGTCTTACCCTCTGGATGAAAAAAAAAAAACCTTTCCAAGTAAAAGAATAAATGCTGTTAGCAATTCTTTTAAAAGATCTGGAGGTTTTAGTGGACCACAAGCTCAATAGTCAGCAGTGTGATGTGGTAGCCCCAAAAAACTAAGGTGATCTTGTAATGCATTAAGAGAAGGAGAGCTCCTAGGAATGAAGAGATGAGTTTTTGTGTGCTCTGGGCTGGTAAATCTGTTCAGGTCTGGACATCACAATTAAAGAGGGCAACTGGGGTGGAGAAGGGTCTACATTCCATGCCATATGAGGATTAATTCAAGAGAATGGAGCTATTAGTCTGGAGAAGAGAAAACTTGAGGGGAAATGACAGGCATCCTACAAGACAATGAAGGGTTAAAACATGGGGAAATGGATAAAACTTATTGTTTGGCCCCACAGAGCAGAACTTGGCACAGTGGGTGGAAGTCGGGAAGTGGGAAATTTGTGCTGGATATCAGGAAAAACTTGTTAATAATTAGGGTTCTCAGAAAGTGGGATGGGCAAGAGTCGGTGGGTTTCCTTTCCTTGGAGGTCTTCAAGCGGAGGCTAAGGGACCCTTTGTCAGGAATGTTATAGTGAGGAGAGGGGCTCCTTTCTGGTAGGGGGTGGACCAGATGGCTGCCGAGAGTTTTTCAGCCTTTAGACTCTGGGATGCTCTGGCTGACAGTACTCAAGTCTATTAGCCCAACACATGTGAAATCAAGTCAAAAATCCGTGATTGTTCAGAGGAGGTATTACAATTTATTTTAATATTAGTCTCAACCCAACAGAGCATGGAAGACAAATCTGCTGCAGACACAGTGAGGTACTCTGTAGCCAAGTAGATTGCTTTGTGGATTTTCCCTAGTTTTAGGTTATATGGTAACCTAGGTTTAGGTTTAGGTTCTTTCAGGGTAGGCAAGGGGCGCCTGAGGGTTGAGGAAGAGCAGGGCACGCTGGGGCACGGGAATGGGGCTGGGGAAGGAGGTGATGATTAGCATTAGAGTCCCTCCGCATCAACTCCCCCCATCGGGACTCACATTCTCACTCTCCTACCCCCATCACAGCACTCGAGATGTATCAGCCCAGAACTCCAACCACTCAGGATCGTGGGGAGTCCTCGGAAGTCCTTGTCACGCCCAGGCTACCTGTCCTCCCCGCGCTGGACTGAGGGCCAGTCCCAGGGCCCAGTGAAACACCAAGACCAGTGGGACACCGTCCTCTCCTTGAAATCCTCCTCCTCCGACAGCCACAGCCTCGGGGACCAGGGTGAGAAGGGCGAGGTGGTGGGAAGAAGACTGGTGGAGGAAGCCGTGTGTGAAAGCGCTTAATAAACTAGGGTGGAACGATGGCTCTCCAAGACTGGGCGGGTCCCAGTTAGGGAGAGTGGGTAGGGCCACAGGGCCAATGGGTGTGGTCAACCAGGCGGCACCAATCAGGGAGAGCAGATGGAAGCAAACACAAAATCCCACCTTTCCCTTACACCCCAACACACGATTTCAGACATACTATAGGTGATTAGTGCCGGACCTGGAGTCAAGAAGATTCTTCTGGCCTCAGACACTTGCTAGCTGTGTGACCCTGAGCAAGTCACTTAACCCTGTTTGCCTCAATTTCCTCATCTGTAAAATGAGCTGGAGTAGGAAATGGCAAACCACTCCAGTATCTTTGCTAAGAAAACCCCAGTGGGGTCACGAAGAGTCAGACACGACTTAAAAAAAAAATAAATAAACTGAACATTCCTCTGTGAATGTCTGTTTGGGTTCCAGGAAAGCCCTTTAGTGGGTTGGATAGTAACACCCTTCCCCTGAATTCTGTCTATTCCCCATCAATAGCGCCACCTCAGGACCCCTCCTGTCCCTTCGAGTCAGAGCTGGAGCCAGAGCAGGAGTCCCCCTCCAAAGGGGATGCATCATCTCAGGCCACGCCGAAGGTGCGGCTTGGCTGCCGCCTGGCCTCCCGATCTATCTGCAAGGCTGTGGTCAAAGGCATAACGAATAACAAGCCTGTGCAGTGGGAGGTAGTCTTCGACCTGGGAGCCCTGAACCAGGAGCTGCAGATCCCTGACAGCATCGACAATGACAGCGAGTATGACGGAGACCTCTGGAGAAGGACCGTCCACCACTTGGCTGCCAAGGCCATCATCAAAGACTTTGAGCAGTTGGCTGATATGGAGTGCGAGATTGAACCTGGTGAGCACCCCCACCCTGCCCATTCTCTTCCCTTCCTCACCTATGTTGCCTTCTTACCCCTCCCCCTTCCTCCACCTACTTGTCCGTCCTTCAAGGCACCATCTCCATCTTCCCTCACCCATCCCTTCTCCTTCCTCAGGCACCTCCTCCTCTTCCTGTAACCTCTCATCCCCTACCATCATTCCATATTTTCCAGGGCTCCTCTTTCTTATCCCTCATTCCCTACCTCCCACTCCAAGTACTTCTCCATAGATCTCCTATCCCCAGTGGTTCCTCTTCCTCCAAGGCTTCTCCTCCTACATCATTGCCTCCACTATCCTGCCCTTTCTGTCTTCTGGCCTATGTCTCCCTATACCAGCTCCCTATGCTGGTATAGTGGAAGGAGCACTAAAGGATCTGAGTCTAAATCTCACCTTTGGCCCTTACTTAATATGATTCATTTATTTTACTTCCTTGGGACACACTTTCAATCCATCAACCAATCAATCAATAAATATTTAAGTGACTACTATGTGCTAGGAACTATACTTAGGGGTACAAAAAGAGGCAAAAAAACAAACAAACCAGTCCCTGTTCTTGAGGAGTTTACAATCTAACAGGAGAGACAACATGCAAACAAATTTATACAAAGCAAGCTACATAAAGTATAAATAGGAAATTATTTTTATAATATAATATGTATTATGTAATAATAATAATTAAAAATAAGGAAGACACTGGAATTAAGAGGGGCTAGAGAAGGTTTCCTGTAGAAAGTGGGATTTTAGTTGAGACTTAAAGGAAGCCAAGGAGGTCAGCAGTGAGAGTGGAGGAGGGGAGTATCCCAGACATAGGGAATAATCAGAGAAAATGCCCAGACCAGAGAAATGGAGTGTCTTGCTGTCAGAACAGCCAAGAGGCAAATGCCACTGGATTGAAGAGCACCTGTCAGGACGTAAGGTGTAAGAAGACTGGGAAGGTAGGAAGGGACTAAGTTATGGAGGTCTTTGAATGCCAAACAGAGCATTTTGTATAATGAAACTGAAAGCCACAGGGAGCCAGTGAAGTTTATTGAATGGAGGATTGATATGATCAGACCTCCACTTTAGGAAAATCTCTTTAGTGGCTGAATGGAGGATGGGTTGAAGCAGGGAGAGATGAAGAGGAAGACAGACACACCAGTAAATTATTGCAATAGCCCAGGCAAAGATGACAAGAGTCTTCACTAGGGTCGTAGCAGTGTCAGAGGAAAGAAGGGGCATATTTGGGAGATGTTGCAAAGGTGAAGTCAACAGGCCTTGGCAACAGCTTGGATATGGGGGGAGGAGGTAAAAGGGAGTGAGGAATCCAGGATGACATTTAGGTTGTGAGACTGAGGGACTGGGAGGATGGTATTGCCTCTAGATTAATAGGAAGGTAGGAAAAGGGGAGGGTTTAGGGGGAGAGATAAGGAGTTCTGGTTTTGGACATACTGAGTTTAAGATGTCTACTGGACATCCAGTTACAAATGTCTGAATGGCAGTTGGATGTGTAAAACTGGAGGTCAGCAGAGAGCAGGATTTGAGAATCATCAACGTGGAAATGGTCATTAAGTCCATGGGAGCTGATGAGATCACCAAGTGAAGTAGTATAGAAGAAGAGAAGAGAAGGTAGCCCAGAACAGAACCCTGAGGGACACCTATGGTTAGAGGGCATGATCTGGATAAGGATCCAGCAAAGGACACTGAGAAGGAATTGTCAGAGGGACAGGAGGAAAACCAGGATGGAGAGGTGTCCTGAAAACCTAGAGAGAAGACAGTATCAAGGAGGAGAGAGAGTGATCAACAGTGTCAGAAAAGGCCACTGGGTCTGGCAACTAAGAGATCGTTAGTAACTTTGGAGAGAGCGGTTTGGGTGGCATGATACGGTCAGAAACAAGCCTGTAAGGAGTTTAGAGAGTGAGAGAAGAGAAAGTTGAGATGCCTATTGTAGATGCCCTCTTTCAGGAGTTTAGCTGCAAAGAGAAGAGATATAGGATGATAGTGGGGATGGAAGGATCAAGTGAGGGTTTTTTCAGGATTGGGGAGACGTGGACATGTTTGTGGGTGGTAGGAAATGAGTCAGTCTAAGGGGAGAGATTGAAAATAAGTAGAAGAGTGGGGATGACAGAGGGGACAATCTGTGGGAGGAGATGGGATAGAATGGGATCGCTTGAATGAGCAGAGGGGTTAGCCTAAGAAAGGAATAAGGCCGCTTCATCACGTGAGACAAGAGTGAAGGAGAAAGCAGCATAAGGCACTTAAGATATAGAAAATGGGGAGGAGAGAATAGGGAGTTTGTGGAGAATGGCCTCAATTTTTTTTGTAAAATATAAGGCAAGGTTCTCAGATAAGAAAGTGGGAAGGGGAGCCATGGAAGGTTTGAGGGGGAATGAAAAGCTGCAGAAGGTGGGGTAGTGAGTTGATAAGGGAGATATAGAGCAGGTAGGTGGTGAAGTGAATAGAATGCCGGGAAGACCGGAGTTCAAATCCAGGCTCAGACACTTGCTAGCTGTGTTGACCCTGGACAAGTCATTTAATTCTGCTTGCCTCAGTTTCCTCATTCTAAAATGAGCTGGAGGAGGAAATGACAAACCACGCCAGTATCTTTGCCAAGAAAACCCCAAATGGGGTCGTGAAGAGTCAGACATGACTGAAACGACTGAATGACAACAAGGGAGATATAGTAGGATTGCCTAGCTCTAACATTGTGTGTTCTAAGGGCCCTCTCAGCTCTGACATCCTGTGTTCTAAGGCCCTCCCAGCTCTGACATCCTGTGTTCTAAGGGCCCTCCCAGCTCTGACATCCTGTGTTCTAAGGCCCCTCCCAGCTCTGACATCT